AGAATATCATAACACACTCATTTTAGACATCTGGATACTTTCATTGGAGACAAACAAAATAGCTATAAAGTTCTGGCACTGGGAGAGGAAAAGAGATAAAAAATGTTAATGCAAAACATTCAACGTTAAGGGAAATTTTTCAGACTGGAAATTCAGAGCCTATTTATAAACAACCGCTCTAAGCAATCAGAGACAAAAAGAAGGGCAGTGCAAGATTATCTCAGACAGGAGATGGACAAAGTAATTCATCCTCTTGATTTCCTTGTCAGGGAGTTCCTCCCTAGAGAAACAGATAGAGGATTGTACTGTCATCCAGTTTTCAGGCTCACTTATATAGGAACATATTTCTCAGCTTAAGGGAAGATACAAAGCAGAGCTTTGGTAATTCATAACTAGTTTGGATGAAAGGACATTTTGGTTTAAGGCAGCTGATACAGTTTCCAAGGAGGCTTGCTCATGTCTGCGGATTCTTTTGTGGTGATAGGGTATTGTAGATGTTTGGACTCCCACAGCTTGCTTTAAACTGTTGATATCCATCATGGCTTCGTTCCACTGCACCATTAGCATAACACTCCTATTTCAGATGATTTTGTATCTATCGTCCTGGTATTAAAATGCTTTCATCTCTGTGCCTGAATCCTGTTTGTGCTTACTTTTTTTTTTTTTAAGAACTGAAGCTTTACAGTGAAATCCTACTGTTTACTGTGCAATTATGGGGCTTTATGGGGCTCGCTTCCAGAAAATGTGCAGTGACAGTTACAACACAAGGTTGGATTGTTGTTGCCATCTGCTGGAGGCATCGTGTAAGTTCACAAAAAAATTCAAGGGGTAAAATCCAAAACTGGATTATTTTGAAAATAAAACAAATGTGCTTTTTGCTTGGGAAGGGAACGCTTCATTAAGAAATAAGTATAGCAACAGCAGTATTGTGTAAGCATTCTACCAAAGGAATTGATTTGGAAAACATAAAAATAACATAATGTGCCTTGGATTTGCTTAGGGCTCAAGTCGAACTCCCTAATCGGAAATGTGATTCTGTTGTTTCCCATTGATAATTATGGAAATAAATAGTTACAATTTTTAAAAAAATTTCTCCCACAGGAACTAAAGGGGGCTTAATCATGCCAAATTTCCAACTAAAAGGTTCAAGTATTTTCTGCTTTGTGACTTATAAGTTGTTATTTAAATGAAGTGGGGGGAAATTTACAATCAAACTTTCCTATGATGAGCTAATTAGATCTAGTCAGTTTTAAATTAAAATGTTCAGATTTTGTTTTCAATAGAAAAAGAGCCTCTTTTGAGATTTCCAGGAAAAATACACATATGTATTTTGAGGGCAACTCTCACAAAACGGCCCGAAGTCACTTAGGTGAGATAGGTGGTATAGACATTTTATAAATAAATAATATTCCAGTACACAAATAGTCCTAGTCAAAAAAACTGTAAAAATTCATAAAGTTAGATGTTATCATTTGTGTGAGTAGGGACACTTCAAATAGGAACAGGAGGACTATTATATATATTTGTTGCCTTGAGTTATTTATAAAAAAATAATGAAGGTGGATTAAAAAACATCTTGAAAATTTGGATTGCGTGCGAATTGCTTCTTTAACCCCTTTAACCACACAAAATGTGTGTGTGTGTGCACACGTGGTAATTTGTACAAAATATGTATACATCACAGGTATATCATAGCTAGAGATGGCAGGCATAGATGGCAGGCATAGTCATAAACATCAGATATGCAGATACTGAAAACCTTAGTCTGAAACTGGCTTACTTGGCAGAAGTCCTGCATGATTTGGCAAGATTAGTCTCTTTACAAAAAAGAAATGAAACCATAACCACTGGGAAGATTTGTCCATAGCAGAACAAAGAAATCAAAGCCTTTATAGAAGACTATTTTGCTGGTTTTCAATTCTAACCTTTTCCCTGCTACCTTTCTAAATCAATGAACAATTAGATGGCCAAAGAAGACACCTGATCATTGTTGGCATAATGGTATTTTGTAGTATGGGAACTACTAGTTCCTGCTTCATTAACTTCATTCCTTCCCCCACTCCCCATTAGAGAATTTTGGTAAATCAGAAGAGGTTTGTTTTTAACTCGAATGCCACCAAATTTATTTTATTTATTTATGAAATTTGGTAGCCACCCATCTTATGACAAGGGGAATCTGGGTGGTTTACAACATTAAAAAAAATCATAGAAAGCACAACATAACAAGAATAATAATGGGGGGGGGGACAAACGGGGCATGGGGAGGTGTTCACGTGCGCATGTGCAGGGGAGCGTGGGGGGGGGGTCACACACACATGCACAGGGGGCAGGGCACGGGGGGGTTGTGCATACATTGCATTATGGATGCATCACTGTCCTAGATACTAGTTTGGGATTATGGAGAACCATGTTCAGGATCTATCTTAGCCATGGAAGTTAACAGGGGACTATTTAACCCCAATAACAGAGTTATTGCAGAGGGGAAAAATATAGGGTTGGTACATATACTGTGGTAAGCTCTTAGAAGAAGGGCTTGATATAAATAAATCAAATTAAATTCTCAGTCCTAGTCAGAATCACCATTAAACAAGTCTTTAACTAACCACATTGGTATTTTTTTTATTTTTAACATAGCCCAGTATAGTACTTTTGGATATGCTCATTATATTTTTATGAACCTTTAGATTTAATCAAACTATTTTCCCAAAAAGGTACATTTTCCTATCGAAATGTGGTAAAAAGTATTTTCAAAAACTACTGTGCCTTCTAATTTTTGTTATATTTGCAGGATACTGCCTCATCAATATAAGATGATCTATTCTGGCTGATAGATGGCTAGTCTGGCTGACAAAAGCATGCAGATGTTAAATTATAGTTTTGATATTTCTTATGGCAAATGATTTACATGTCTTCACTCATTTCCACCCCCCCCAATTATATGTATTATTCATAAGACTCTACATGCTTTTTGTTTATACCTTTTTGACAGTTGTCTTCCCTCCTACCATTTCCCATTCTATCCTGATCACTCTATCTTGCTTTTTTACTTCTCACACAATGTAATTCTTCCCCCTTCATTGTGCTCCAAAGTCTACTGTATTGCCAAATGGCATCAGTTCCTCTATTAAAATATTGGCCTTCATCTAGCACAAACTTCTTTCTCTCATCTTCCATTAGCTCATTTCTCTTTCAGAATTATTCACATCTTTCATTGTTCCAACAATACAATTTCTAAAATGCCTTGTCTTTCCTCTCTACATCCAACATTCCTTCATGAAATTTTACTTACCAGCACCAGCTCCTTAAATCACCTTCCGAGTTGTGATCAAAATATCTGAAGATCATTTATTGTGTAAGAATGAGAAACTGTGAAGTCTCTGCATCAATTCTTAATTTAATCAGAGGATTACTGCATGGCTAATGGCCATAAGCAATCTTTATTCCTTGGTTTATCTGGTTTTATATTTTGTATAAATTTGAAAAAAAAATTTCTAAAAATTCTTATAGACAGGAAAAAAGCAAAGATAAAAAACAAAGTAGGAAATCTATCTATCCAGGTTTTGAATGATTGATTTTGAATGTTCCTGTATTCTAAGTATTTTTTTTCATACTTAAGTAGGATTAGCACACTTTATTTCGTTTGGCATGTTTCTCAAATCCACATACTCCTCATGATTTCAATCATAATTCAAAGTGCTGCATACAGACAATCCCCTCAAATATACCTGCGGCTAGAAAAGGTCACTATCAGAGGGTCTCTTTTTACAAAGTGAATAATATTGGTCGTCAAGTGATCTTACCTCAGCCTATGTGTGTGACTCAGAGGTGGGTTCCAAATTTTTTTTACTACCGGTTCTGTGGGCGTGGCTTGGTGGGCGTGGCAGGGGAAGGATACTGCAAAATCCCCATTTCCTCCCGATCATCCGGGACTTGGGAGGCAGAGAATAGATGGGGGAGGGGCCAGTCAGAATTTTTACACTGGTTTTCTGAACTACTCAAAATTTCCTCTACCGGTTCTCCAGAACTGGTCAGAACCTGCTGAAACCCACCTCTGGTGTGACTGTGTATGTGCATGTGTTACTGACTATTACTATAATCTTATATAAGACCAACCTCAATTTTGGGAGGGGAGGGAGGCGCCCTGGGTCTTCGGAGAAAGGCGGCATATAAATTGAATTAAATAAATAAATAAAATAAATAAATATGCCCTGCTGCAATTTATCATTGCACTGCTGGTGGCGTTCCGGATTCGTTTCAAGGTGCTGGTGCTTACCTATAAAGCCCTACATGGCTTAGGCCTGGGGTACTTACAGGACCATCTCCTGCCGCTCTCCCATCGTCCCGTGCGCTCTCACAGAGCGGGCCTCCTCAGGGTGCTGTCGGCCAAACAATGTCGGCTGACAGCCCCCAAGAGGAGAGTATTCTCTGTGGGAGCCCCGACCCTCTGGAATGGATTGCCCACCGAGCTCAGGACAGTCCCCGACCTCCTTTCCTTCAGTCGCGAGCTGAAGACGTGGCTCTTCCGTCAACTCAACTGATCCGTTGGGTGTACACTGTTATAATTTTAAAGTGTTTTAATTGGGGTGTTGATTTTAATTTTATCTTGTTGTGATTTGTATTGGAAATTGTCATTTTGTAAGCCGCCTTGAGTCCCTCAGGAGAAAGGCGGCATATAAATCGCAATAATAAATAAATAAATAAATAAATAAATAAATAAATAAATCATGAATGTAATGTGAATAATGATAATTGCAGGAGCAAAAGTATAGCATGAGTACAGTAAAATGCACATCTGAAAAATGCAAAGCAATAAATGACAGCTTTGGAGCTTGGCAATAGAATACATAAAGTCATTTCTATTCAAAGAACAGAAGAGAAGGTATATTAATCAGAACATTTTCACCATTGTTTTTCAAGGGAAAAAGAGTAATGAAGCATACAACATCCATGCATAGTTGTTTAAAAGTCTTCGATATGAAAAAACTGAACATGAAAATAAAACAAGAGACAAGAAGATCTTTTTTTTTAATTTCATTGTTTTTTCACTGTCAATACTGTCTTTTCAAAGCAACATGTTACAAACAAATCCTGTCAACTTTTCCCAGTTTTAAACAGCGACAATATTTACAGGCTGTTTCAAACAACATACACACATCCACGCGCTCATACTCTCACTGACACATACAAAGTACACATAACCCTATCCCTGGCAAGTTCTCCATATGCTGGTAAATGCAAAGCACATATTCTATTTTCCAACTCATTTTATCTTCGCCCTCCCTTATTTAAGGTAATAATAAGCAGTTCATTATCTGGCTGAGTTCAGATAATAACAAGTCTGACTTTTAACCTTTGTGACTTTTGTCATCCATTTGGGTTGTTTTAAAGTTAGTATAAATATCTAAATGGTATTTTCAAATATGTTTGCTGATGAACGGTGTATACAAATCTATGAAGCCTTTTAGAGCAGCCATCTTTTAAAAAATTTGGGGACAATTTGATATGGGCAGTAGCTCCCACCAAGGTCTTATGTACTCACCACCATTTTACTAAGGCACACATTAAATACTGCTATAATTGTTGTCTAGCATTGCAGGGCTAATGGCATCAGGTTACCAATCACCAAGTAGGACCAGACAAGTAGAACCTATATAATAGGTAAGAAAAATCTCTCTTAATAAAATTAGGTATATAAAACCATGGTGGCTGAATCTATAGCTAATATGAAATATTTAGGTATGCTTTGAAAAGCTCTTTCAAATGCACTAGTCCATTGGTAGAGTTATTACCACTTAAAATATATAGAACTGAAGGGCTGGCGTCACTGCTTCATCTCATCTGTTAAGAAGGCATTTCAGTTTGGGTAAAATGTGCCCCCAAATCTAAGTTTTCAAAGGCCTCTTCCATAACACTCCGTACCATCTATTCCATATTTTCACATAACATTGCAACTATGCAACTAGTCATTCTCCAACAGCAGCAAGCATGGGTAGAAAAAGCAACAAATAATAATAATAATAAAAAAACACCTTGTAAAAGATATAATTTTTTCAAAAACATTTCCTTCCCTCCATATCTATTTCCTAGGTTACAAGAACATCTACAGAATATTACCTCAATATTGAGCAATAATAAGATTTTGTTCTTTATGAAAATTAAAGCATTTCACGAGGTGGGTGAGGTAAAAGAAATTTCTCCTTTAATTTCCCAAAATATTAACTGGGAAGCTAAGTATACGTCTGTGATTTTACATTAAATTAGTGCCTAGATGGATTATCAGTTTATTATGCATATATTTATAAACATTGATAGTAGGCAAATTAACTTTCATAAACTTTTTCTACATAAATATTATAGCTTAATATAGAAATTAATTTAGTGGATTACTAGTTTTGTACAAGACTTAGTATCAAATGCAAAAAAAAAAAAAAATTGTAAAGTTTTCAGAATGCTTGTCATAACTATTTGAAGAAATTAAATGAAGAAAGCCACCAAGTCCACATATGAAAAACTGCAAAACAATTAATTTGGCTTCCAAGCTCATATACTGCAACAAGCAAAGAAAAAAGTTTCATAAACACTAGTTAATCCTACATTAAGGATAATCCACCAAATTATTGGGAGATGAACATCTTAAAAATCTGGAAATAAAATTAGATATTATTTTCATGAATGCTAATTAGATGAGATTTATATCTAACAAAGGTGTGATTGAGATTGTGCTAATCAAATAATTTGTTTTCAATTATTTAAACTAAATTTATCACATTCTAAATGTATCTAGATATATTAGAAGTCTTGAAATTATCTTCTCTTTCAATATACCTATTTAATTTCAAATATAATCATTAGTGTGGAGTAGCCTATGTCACAGAGTGCCATTTCTGTTCCTATTAATAATTAAAAATAGGAAAGAAAAATCTTATCAGAAAAATCCAATTTTCTATATTACGGTGTTCATTGCCTCATTCAAGCTAACCTTCAAAAGCACTCTCTTTATCAATGGATTTAATATATACAAAATGACTGATTAATCTTTTTGAAAGGTAGATTGCATTTTCTTTCTATGTTTGGGAAAGTCAAAAAGATAAATGAATATTTAATTGTCAATTAAAATGTGAAGATGGCTGACCAAAACTCAGAAAATGATTTTTCTCTTGTTCATAAAATGATGAAAATATGATAGTGTCAGGGTTTAAACTGGGAGCATTCAGACATTAGCAGGTGATATATATTTTACCAGAACAGCAAAATCTTTTTGAAGCTTTTTTCTATATTTTATTATTAAAGCTGCTCCCCTGGACAAATTTTGTGGTTTTCAGATTCTAGCAAGAGTTATCTGCAGCAGTGAACAGCTTTGCAAAGTATGGTCAAGATTGTAATGCAGTAAGAATGACATTTGAATTTTACTTTAATGTACTCAGCAAGTTGCAAAGACTGTTTTTATGGTATCAGATTGTTCATGTTTTGACATTATTTGACTAGGTTCATAAAGTGTACAATGGTTATGTTTCACTGCAATTTCTTGCTTGTAAGATTACCCATGCATAATTAACATAGGAATAGTTCAAAAATAAAAGATGGCTGCTTCTAAAAGCTACAACTGCAAATTGTTCTGTTTCCTATTGAGCCCAGTTTCAGATCACATAAAGGAAACAACCACTACATATAAAACTTTCCATTAACATTGTGAGCAAGTCATAGAAACAGCAAGATAAAAAATTGCAACTTTGTCCCCTTACTCTGTTGCTGTTTGAGTAACTTGTTTCCCTGAAAACACACACTAAAAATTCCAATCAGTAAAAATCGATGATATGCAACATAAATCAGTTTCACAGTTATATGCAAAGTACAATTATTATAGAATATATAATTATTGAAAATAAATTCAAGTCACAGAACATAATAGCAACTAAAGGGAGCTAAAACGCAAAATGATACAGATAATATGATACAACATGCCTTCTGATTTTTATCCTTTAATTTTTTTAAAAAGTAAACTATTTTGCTTAATAAAGGAGTAAGTCCCAGAACAGAGATAAAGTCACAACCTTATTTAAAACAATGTATCTCATCCAGTTTTCCATAAAAAGAAAAGCAAACATTTTTTCAAAGGAGCCCAGTAAAGTACTTTTGTTGACTCCATATTGGAAAGTAACAAAAGTAGAGGAAGAAAATGCACAATTGTATGACTGAGCCCATTATGTAAAAAGATAAAATTTACGTTATCAATTGGTTTCACCATGAGTTAGGCTTCCCTGGAGTTTTCTCCTGTAATTACTGGTTAATCTACCATATATTGTAAATGGGAAAGAATAAATAAGTTGTTGGACAATTTTGTAGCCAAAAATGAATCAATGGTATTTCCTAACATCATATGAATATGGAGGTGAAGGTGACTAATCCCAAAGGCAATTTAAATAACACTATTTTCTTTTTATATATATATATATATATATTTATATCAATAAATGTTCTGAGCAATCTCAGATTTTTGTAGTGCATTGCCATAAAAAAAATAGTGCAGTTTTCTCAATGATCTTTTTTCCCACTTAGAAGAAATAAGAAGTTTAAAATCTGGTTATACTTGCAGTTAATGAAACATTCTATTCAGCTTCACACTGACCTCGACATTTATACAATTTTCAGTTGCTTCAAAAAATGAACTGAATCTACATTAATGAGACAAAATATTTTGGCAAGACAATTAGAAAAAATGAGATGCTCCTGTTTTGAAACTTGAAAAATGTGGGGTTGTTTTAAAGCATTGCAATGGATAAAATAATGTATAAAGCAAAAGATATATCCTGTTTACCCTTCATGCACAATATTTTCTTCAGTAGCTATCTTGAAAAATATCAAAAGCACCCACTTAATTCTTTTGGAGACTGACATCCTACCCTTAACTTCATATTCAAGTCTCTTCCTATTACTTGAGCTGTAGAGTATCCTTCTGGGACTCCTTACTTCATTTCTAAACATTGTGGAGATGGACTAGGCGTTAATTGTCCAAGAAGATCACACTTCAGCCCCAAGTTCCAGGACTCCGGTTTCAATCACTGCAACATATTTGTCTTCAATTTGGACGAGCAAGATGGTTTTGTCTATATGGGACCTATGCCCTGGATCTCTGCTGCAAGGCACCCAACGGTGAATCACCTAGCAGGGGTAGCAAGAAAAAGAAAATATACTCAGCAGTGATACTAGAACTTTGTCATTCTGAAGTAATACATGCAGGCTATGTGAGAAGATCAAGATTAGGCTTTCAGGTCTTACTTATTTATGTTGTTGCTCCAGCACAGAAACTATTTTGATTCTACTCTTGAAAGTTATTGGTAAGAACCTCCTCTGCTATAATACTGAGAATAAAATAATAGAAATATTCCCATATTTCACAGGAGAAAATACGTTCTAGAAAGCATTCAGAACTGTAACAAGGGAACAGGAAATGTCATACTTTGGTAAATAGTGCACTTCTTTATGTATATTTCCCTCACATGGATTTAATATACTATGCTCTTACTGTCCAAGAAACTATGCAGAATTGATAGGGTCTTAAGTTGTTGTTGTTTTAAAAAACAGTTAACTTAACTTTTAAAAAGTTAAGAATTCCAGAACACATGACACATATTCCCGTCTATCATTATAATTTAGAATTTGTAAAATTGGCTTTTTCTTACTGCTCCACTTTTTGAATTTACATACAATCAATATAACCTCTGAGCATGCCAATAAAGGCGGCTGAGGAATGAAACTTACATGGCCTTCCATGCCTTCCTGAGGATTCCAGTCTTTCCAGCTGTTTCTTCCAGCTCTTAGTCTTATCATTTCATCTGGCCACTGCAGTTCTTTTCTTTTGGATAAGTTGATCCCTTCCAAAACCTGGCTAGGATCTATTATCTAAAAAAAGCAGCTTAAAATTAGTGCTATGCAAAAATTGAGTTTGAAATTTCCCGTTCTGAAATAGTTCAAAACTTTTTCAACTGAAAATGTTTTGCATATCCTCCAAGTATAATTCGATTCCAAACACTATAAACCACAGACAGCAAAATAAGAAGGGAGATGTATTTCCACAACCATTAGAGAGCCCCAGGTTTCACACTCCTACAATTAGTTTGAGTAGAACAGAGAAAATGTGATATAATTCAGTGTTTCCCATTAATGCTTTTCTTAGCTTCCAAACTTGGGTCATCAAGCTTGGATCTCAAACCAACACTAGACAAGCAAGCCTATTTAATGTAAAAACAAATACTTGCTTAATTTTCCACCTAATAGCATTGTTATAACATTATAGAAAACTATTGAAATAGCTTTAATACTTAACGTACACCATATTTTTCTGTAATACAAAGATCTTTATTCCCTGACCATATCTTTGCCTTGTTCATTCTCTATCCTTTAGCGAATGTATACCCTGAAGGACCATTTTCAAAGTGTAGCCAAAGCACAGCACAGCCCTAGAGAATACCAGCTTTAAGAGGTGTTATATCTGAAGTCTTCGGTGAATTCTGTATATTAAGAATTAATTTTTCATCCCACAGTGTTGCATTCCAGAAGTGTAGGGAAGATTAAAAAATTAAACCCATAATTGTCCAGCCATAAAAATAGTCATTAGATAATAATGGGCATATAAACCAGATCAATTCCAACATTTCATTTACCTGAATTCTGTAAACAACATCATCCCTTTTGGTTTGTGTCTGGTTCACAGGGCTCACATTTGTGCCTGCCTGTGAATCAGTGACATTCGTCATTCCATCGGTCCCTAAAAAGCCAACAAGGGCATGTTGTTTGCAGGCTGGGATGCTCTGACTGGAACTGCTTGAAGAAGGGAGGCCATGTTGCATATTGGCAACACCAGTCTGGTTAGCGGGTTCCATTTGGTTCACCATGGACAGACGGGACTGTATGGACGATGGAAGATTGCGAAGGGAAAGCTGGCTGGTGGAAGACCGTCGGCAAGGCACAAAGCCTGTGGTGGATGTCCGGAGGGATGAATGACGACTGCTGTAGCAGTATGTTGACTGGCTGGCAACTGAAGCACGAGCAGGGGAATGTCTGATAAGGCTTGACTGCACAGAATGAGCACTCTGGCTGGTGCCTAAAAATAAAATATATTTTATTTTTAAGCAAAGAATAAATGAAATTATTATATGCTGTATAATAATTTTAGATATATGCATTTTGTATATATATATATATTTATTTATTTTATAGGCTATAGTTTGTTTATTCCAAAGATGGAAAATTGAATGGAAAATTGAAAAACCTATTGGCTTGTAAAATGTGTCTGATAACTACACAGAAGTCCTTCAACTTCCTTCAACGATAAATTTAATTTCCCCCACTTCCGGGTCTTTTATGCCTGATGCTCTTAATCATTGGCAGTCAGTCTGTTTCACCACTGGGGGTTTTTAAGAAGAGACTGGACAGTCACTTGTCTAAAATGGTATAGGGTCTCCTGATTGAGCAGGGGGTTGGACTAGAAGACCTCCAAGGTCACTTCTAGCTCTATTCTGATTGATTGATTGACTATTGCTCTGTATGATAGTTTTCAAAATGTAATCAGCAATTTATTTGTCCTGGACATTTTAGTTTTGGATATTATCATTTGAGGAGGTATAAATACAACTGTTTGATTTGTGTGGTGTGATTTCTACAAAGAACTTCCCACATAGCAATAGCACTAGCACTTAGACTTATATACTGCCTTACAGTGCTTTACAGCTCTACAGATTTACAGAGTCAGCATATTGCCCCCAACAATCTGGGTCCTCATTTTACCCACCTCAGAAGGATGGAAGGCTAAGTCAACCTTGAGCCTGGTGAGATTTGAACTGCCAAATTGCAGGCAGCTGGCAGTCAGCAAAAGTAGTCTGCAGTACTGTACTCTAACCACTGAGCCATGGTGGTTTTCACATAGTTAAAATAATCCTAAGAAACTATTTAAGATAGTCTTGACATAAGGTGCAAAATAAATCCAGATCTTTCCCTTGGTAATGAAATATAGATGTGGTATAATGTAATTAATTAATTAATCAATCAATCACTAAATTGATTTACATACGAAAAATATGATGAGTTGTTGGGTGGCTAATAACTCATTCAAACAATAAAACAGCATAGGTGAAGTGAAAAACCAACAATGACTACCAAGAATGGACCCAACAGAAACTACTCAAAAGGCCATGTAACCTCTCTACCCCCGGACCTGGAACGCATTCTAGTTTTAGCACTTATGGAAAGCTAGCAAAATTAGAGCCAATCTGGTCTTGGGGAATATGGTTTTCCAGAGGGCAGGTGCTATGACAGAAAAGACTTGTTTCCGAAGTCCTGTATCATTTGTTTAATTGAAAGGACATGACGGGAAGATAGAATTTAAAACAACATTTCAAAGATTAATTATCCCAATCTGGCAGTGAGGTATTTGAATGCATACACTCTCAGACACTAGTTCAGTTTTACCTAGGGTGACTGGATGAGAGGCGACAGGGGGTTGCAATCCTACTCCAGATCCCTGCCCAACAGTTGCATTCCCACCTCCTTGAGATACACTGCTCTGAGAATCGTTGACAGTTACACTATTACTTGTGCAGGAGGCACCACCTCCAGCATCTGAGTCTTCAATGTTTCCTCCACTGTTGCAACCAGCACCACAGCCTTTTCTTAACCTGAACATAACAATAAAAATAAAATAAAAATACAATAAAATAACAATAAAAATACAGAAATAAAAACAATAGCAAGCAGACTTAAGAAAGTAGTTATCAGATTCTACCAAAATCTTACAGTCATATCTTGACCTATTATTTTCATGTTTATTTATCATACATCCTACTTTTCTTCCAGAAATTCAAGATGGCATATAGTTCTCCATCGCTGTATCTACCTCATAGCAATTTCTTGAGATAGATAAAGCTGAGCAAGTGGGCCTGGTCCAAAAGTTATTTAACACAACACAACACCAGTTTTCTCAGCTGTTGTAGAATAGAATAGAATAGAAGAGAACAGAACAGAACAGAATTCTTTATTGGCCAAGTGTAATTGGACACACAAGGAATTTGTCTTGGTGCATACGCTCTTGGTGTACATAAAAGAAAAGATACATTTGTACAACACTTAATGATAGTCATAGGGAACAAATAAGCAATCAAATCATATTAGGAAACAATCAATATAAATCTTGAGGATGCCAGCAGTATCCTTGTAGGGATGGGAGAAACAAAACAGGTAAGATTTTATTGCCTAATTTACCTTCAGAAACTTACAAATCATCCCTGGAACAGTGAACTCCAGAGGAAAATAGGACAGTATTGTAATAGTAAGGGAGCATTTGCGCCTGGAAGAGTTTCACAAAGAGCAAACTTTATCCATAGTTAATTTTTTCAGGAAGTAAATAATACAACTGAGATTAAGACTGACTGTTGACAAAATACTGAAAAAGGCTTTCCACATTTCTAATAAAAGCAATATTCTTGTTTTGACAGGAATCTTACTCTGAGTTTGCATCATAAAAAGAAAAGTGATAAAATAAAACAAAACTTTATAGTGTACCATTCTAATTAAATATACTAAAATGAGCAACTGTACTCCGGAGACTTTTTTTATTCACCTGTGCCATGTAGATACTATGAAGTTCTTGATGTTTCCCAGACTGATGGCACCACCAAGAATGTCCTTTAGCTGTTCATGGCTATCAGAATATGAAGTTGTCAGAGGTGAGACATAAATTGGGTATCCAATAGGCTGATCACAAGATGAGTTAATCATGTTCCTCAAAGCTTGTTTTGCATTTTGGATGCTCCCTCTTTCTGGGTTTCGATTGCGTAAGAAGACCAACTCCTGCTGCTGTCCAGCCCAAAGGCCACGAACACATTCCTTATTTACCTGCAAAAACACAGAAATCAAGAAGGTATGTAGAAAATAGTGTGGCAAAATGCAAACCAGACAGCTATAACTACATGAATCTTACAACATGAAATATTCACTGATTTTATCAAATAAATCTACTAGCACAAAAGTGGTCTAAAATTACAACCATTTTTAAATGTCCCAAAAGTGCTTTTTTTCAAAAGGCAACTGAACTTTCTTGGTTTTTTTTTTCCTTTGAAAATATTTCATTTCTCATCCATGAAGCTTCCTTGGTTCTAACTAACTGGTGGGGAACTGAAGAAGCTTGGATGTGAACTGAAACATTTTTAAGGAAAAAAACCCAAGGAAGTCCAAATGCCTTTTGGAAAAAAGCGCCCTTGGGACAACCATGACCTGGATGATTGAGAGTCTCCATAGATGCTTTTTAAATGCATAACTGAAAACAGGATATAGGCACGCACACATACACACTTCCATCCTAATCATAAATACACTCAAGATTTAGACAATTTTAAAATTATACATTAAAGTTTTACCTTTTAGAAAAATAACTAAAATTCATTTAATTACTTTAGAAGCATGCAGCCCCTGTATTTAACTTTATGGAAAGCATTCATGCATATATTATATCATTATTTATTCTACTTTTAAGCATTTGGCATAAACATATTCAAAATTTGCTTATACACAAGAAGTAGATAAAATCTGTTATTAGTATGCTGTAGGAAGTAAGATGTAGCAAGGTAGTGAGAGATGCTTCTGCTACACTTTTCACAATTATGGAATTATATATATATATTGTATATATATATAATTCCATAATTGTATATATAATATATATGTAGGTCTTTGGTTATTTGGGTTTTCTCCCACATAGAATTGGAAGTTTCAACAAAGTCTCATTCTCATCTTCAGGCTGGTGTTTTCGGCTTCGTTGCTCCTAGAAGCACGAAGCCGAAAACACCAGCCTGAAGATGACGAAGGAGACTTCGTCGAAACATCGCCAAGACACTTCCAATTCTACGTGGGACAAAACCCGAATAACCAAAGACCTACATACAAACACCCGCGAAAACCTCAGAAAATAAATATATATATATAATATAAAATGTCTGTAAATCCTGCAGATTTCCTTAATCAAAATATTTAAAAACCTAAAAGAATTTAACATCAGAGAATTGCTTAACAAAATCACAGCATTTAAAAAAGGAATTAAAAAAAAATCAAAACAACAATTTCATACTAGAAAGTAATAAATGCCTATCCTCCCCATTTATTACATCTCATCCTAGAACAGGTAGTCTCATCCCCTCCATTAATAGTATCTTACTTTAATGACTCTGAAGATTAGATAGCGCTTGTTCAACATGATGATCTTGTATTCGTTGGTGCCATCATCCATCACGTGGCGAAGGGCAAGTAGGGAGGGAGAATTGGAAAGTACAGCACTTCGCCAAGCAGGGTCCCCCTCATGAGCTATAACCAAGTTTTGTTCATGCGTTGTGATAGCTTCATAGAGAACAGCAGGATCATCGTATTCATCAGGAGAGGTGAAATGATCCTAAACCAAAGAGTAAAAGCACTGTTCAATATGAGCCTTCATTGTGAAAAGGGAAATGATTATATTCTAGTCCAGAGTTGCTGAGCCTTGGCAACATGAGAACATGTGGGCTTCAACTCCCAGAATAGCAAGTTTGGCTGAGGAATTCTGGGAATTTAGGTCCACACATCTTCAACCTGCCAAGGCTGAGGAACATTGTTTTAGCCTATATTAAAATTATACAGTCAAAGTTTATATTCAGCCAAACACAATCATTTAAGATTGCATCTAGTTATCAGCTTGAGAAAAACATTAAACAATGAAGAATGCTCAGTTTCCCTAAAGGCTAACAAATTTACCACTGTATAAGCATTCATAGACCACAGTCTAGGTTTTAAGCTGAGGTGTAAAACAACTCAGCCGTAAATTTCTCCAGGGATGGATTTGTGACATCTGGCACCATGGCAATACCAAATGCAATTAACAAACATAGTTTTTCTCTTGTCAAAAAAGATGTAAAAATTGCACTTGTTTTTAAGAAATGCGTATGAAACCAATATATGCTTCTGAAAGTTTAGTATTAAAAAATGAGAAAAAATGAGAAACAATGGAGACCAGGGAAAATTTGATAAACAATACCAGGGAATTTTGTAGTCAGTGATATTGAAAAGTAGTCTGCTTCCCTTCAATTCCTAACTGCTCAATTCTTTCCTTCTCCATTTAATTCCAACTATTTCCCCCAAATTTGCTCAGTCCTGCTCTTTCTTACATGAGGTAACCTTGCAAGGAAAAATAGAAGTTGTTTAAAAAAATACCAAATAGATCTGTTATTGAAAATATCTATTCACTCTACATTGAATTGCTGATCCTGCTAATATGGACAGTAAAGCAAATTCCTATAACTTACATATCTTTAATTATAAAGCTATTTGTGAAAATAAATCCATTCAAACAGGTAACTGAAAAAATATCAAAGCCAATTTGTTTCTTGGAAGTTAATGTTTTCCTTTCCTGATAAATTATCCTAAATAAACTGACAAAGAATGCTATCGCCAGTCAATATCCATGTATTGGAACAACATTCTTTTAATACATTTCAATTATGTATACAAATACACGTGTGAACCAAGCATTATTTATTTATGTATTTATTTTATTCAACTTCTAAAGCCGCCCATCTTAGTGAATGACTCTGGTAAATTTGATAAATTTACCAGATGATATATAACCAGAGTCACTTGCTTGAGATGGGTGGCAACAGAAAGTGAATGAATGAATGAATGAATAAATATAACACTGAATTAATTTTTACTGTATTTATTGGCATTCATTTCATAATTAATTTTTTCCTCATACATTACTAAAAGTGACTTCTTTTTCAAGAGCTCCATTTGCTTTTGAATCAACTTTTTACCAATGGGAGAACTGCTACAAACCCTTACCCACAGAGTTTGAATTATAATAATCTATGTCACTTTCGGCTGATGTGCATGTGTGCAAGCATTCTTTATACCTGATGCAGTTTTAGTGACATGCGTATTCCAGGGACCACCACTTTTCTCAGTAATTCCATGTCTGCAAAAATCCATTCATCTCGAATTGATGATATACGAAAGTCTCCTTTAAACAAGGCATGGAGCCCATACAGGAAAGATTCCAGATTACTGTTTGGTTTGGGAGAGAAACCCCAAACATTAAAGCAAGCATTCAATATTCTAAAATTAGTTGAAGAAAGTAAGATTTTCATTTCTATATAAACATTGTGGGTTGCCCAAGCAAATTTAAATTGCCATCATAAACAAATATAAACCAGAAGTATTTAAAAAAAAAAAAGCTGACAATCATTCTTCAGTTCCTCATCTGTCCTGGCTATGTATTTAAGAATGGCTGAAACACTAAAGGGAACTAATCATCCTCAAATTATTTGGCAGAAAAGTGGCATAAATTCTTTGGGTTAATGAGAACAGCAGTAGTTCTATCTGGAAACTTGCATTACTTTGTACTCTGCAGTTATTTACTGAATAAGCACCTGGCCTATTTGCTGACAAATTACTTCTGTGTCTCAAGAGTCTTTCACTTCCATCGGAATCAATTTTATACTTATTCTATTCTTGAACTTAAAAGGAAAGACTCCCCAAGTACCCTTTTCTTTTTCTCGACGTTTATAGATTGAGTTTGTCCCAAATACCAGCTCGGTGCTGGTCAATGACTACAATAAAATTAAAAGATTCAAAAATGCAAGCATATTCTTTACAGCTGTGTTTCTCAACCTTTGCAGCTTCAAGATGTGTGGACTTCAGCTTCCAGAATTCCACTACCTGAAGTCTGCATATTTTCAAGCTGCCAAGATTGAGAAACACTGCTTTAAAAGTTTGTCTCTCTGAGAAATCTGCCATTAACAGACATATTGAGATAAGGTCTAGTTATGAACCATTCCAAAAAGGAAGCAACCAAAATCAAAGAAAGAGGCAAACAGATCTAAGTAGATCCTTCGTCATCCTGAACTTATTAACCAAGGCCAGAACAGGAACCAGCACTAAATCAACAACCAAAGAAACAATTACACTAATGATAGCAGACAGCAAACTGCACTTCACCATGCACTAATGTGGTTAGCTAGAGTGGCCATGAAACATTCAGATGCAGAAAAGCAAGCTCAGGGAATGCCAAAGGCCTAACAAACAGTTATATTGCATAAAGGAATTGCAACTTTTTAAATTGAAAACATTTTCTTACAATCATCTAGATGAGGGACATCAAGGTCAAAAGGCAAGGCCTAAGAGTTCTAAATACTAAATGCTTATGGAGGAGAACTGCAGCAGGATAAGCTTCCTCTTCCTGTTAAGCATCCTGTCAGAATTTGTCACTAATATTTAGAGACTGAAATTAGCTACTCAAATCTGGTAAGTCAAATTAAGAGTGGGAATGGAAAAGGTACAGCTATATTCTAGGGGACCTATTCTGGAATAATAAATAAGAGTACCTAGCCATATGATGTGAAGCAGTTCCCAGAGCTCTCCGACCAAGAACAGACAGTCCATAGCAAAGGGTAACCAACGAAGAATCCTTATCTGCATTGAGTGGCTTTGAATAAAAACAAAAACAAAAATTGAAAATATTAGATAAAGAATATAAGATGTTTGTGTGCACCATTAATACCATTATGTTCCATCACATAACTCAAACTGTAACTTTTCCTCACTGTTTTCTACTTTCTTAAGGAAAAAAAAGTGGAGAATACCCAAAATGGGACATTCACTTTAATAAAAGCGGCTGCAAGCCTTTATGTTCCATCATCAGCAAATGAGATATTGTTATTACTGAGTAGGTTCTTGGTAGCAATAAATTCTCTTCAGAGCTAATATAAATACTTTAAGCAAATATATATATGGGACTCAGCTAAGAAGTTCAACTTTCTTCCACATTTTCAGGATTTAGATGTCCTTTGAGAGATAAGACAGCATATCTTCATAGGATTTCTTAATCATTCAAAAGTACTTACTTTTTCTCTCTGAGAGCAGCAATATTCTACCCAGTTGAGATAAATTATACAAAAACTCTCTCTTGAAATCCCTGCTAGCCGATGATCATAATCCTCATCAATATTAGGATTAAATGTAGGGTCTACATCTACGTAATTTTGGTCTGCACATTGTTGCAGTCCTTCCTGCATTGTTTCATTTGATAACCATTCCTCTAGCTTGGGAGATGATATTACATAATAGATGATACCCTACAAGATTAAAAAAATGAGTTATTAGAATATATACATCTGATTGTAACTTTTAAGTATTTAGCAAAATAGAAGGAAAGATTAAACACATCCTCTGTAGATGTTGAACCCTGATGGTTTCTTTACCAGACCCAAGCCATAGTAAGGAAAGGAAAGGTAAAGAAATGGAAAAAAGGAAAATACCTAGATGTATTGTTTTTCTGTTGGTTTACAAGAACAAACCATTTAGAAAAATAGTTTGCACAGTATTTATTATTTTTAATTATTCTGGGTTGGACGATGGAGATTTACATTTGAAGTTCAAATTCCTCACATATTCAATCCCAAAGCAATTTTGCTCACCAGTGCATTTCTAGCCAATATGATTTTTTTTCTATAGGCACATTACCACTTCAGTGAATCACTGAAGTTGTTAAGCTAGTAACACAGTGATTAGGTGAATCTGGCTAACCCATTGGCTTTGCTTGTCAAAAGGTTACAAAAGGTGATCACATAACCCCAGGACACTGCAACTGTCATAAATATGAGTCAGCTTCCAAGCATCTGAATTCTGATCATGTGACCATGGGGATGTTGCAATGGTCGTAAGTGTGAAAAACGGTCATAAGTCACTTTTTTCAGTGCCATTGTAACTTTGAATGTTCACTAAATGAACTGTTGTAAGTTAGGACTACCTGTATATAGCACAGATATTAATAGCTTGGGTAAAACAGCTTAGTACTCATTCGTAAAGAGAAAAGCAATTCTACATTCCTGAGTTAGAGATGTACCTTGACATAGTACGTAGTGAGTATTTTCCTTAGATCAAAGACCTGAAGCATGGAAGCAGCACTGTTGTCGGTGATGCTGTAACCCTCCAAGACATACTTTGTGACTAGAACTTCCCAAGCGAGCCAACGCTGGCCAAAGGCAGCATTAAAAGACAACACATGAGGGATGTGACCAGGTTCACAGCAACAAAACCCTTCATCTTCTTCAACCCCTTCAGTGATAGCTTCTACTTCTCGTTGCTGACAATAAGTTCCTGAAATGAAAAAAGGTAATTCGTAAAAATAGGAGCATTAACACCACCAGTTCTGATAATTTAAAAATAATGATTTGCACTTGCTTTCTGGTAGAAAATGGGATGAGTAATATTGGGATAAGTAATTAAGGACCTTCATGAGTTCATGTTCATTTGATCAGTGATGTCTGTATCATAGGTTTTTTTTTAACTACAATGCTTATACCATTGGAAAGATACCATAAATTACTAAAATAGAATTCACTAATGAAAGAAAAAGTAACAGAATTTTTGTTGAAGTATGTGAGATATCCAATTAAGGTTAGAAATATTTTCAAAGTATGGAGCAGCTCAAACCGTGACTTGATCCAAATCGGATCGAGTCTGAAAGCTGGGAGGCTACAGGAAGGGAGGAGCTTCTCAGCTAGCAGACCCGATCCTTCGTCATCGGAAGAGCACTCCCCATGGAAGAGGACCACCGGACCCACGTTCAATGAGAAAAGAAAAGATTAAGTGAGGTTATAAAATGAACTTCGTTCAGCTCTATTAATTTTATTCGACTCAGAGCATCTCGATCTAAAATATTTATTAATCCAATGGACTAAATTTGCATGTTACAATGTTTGAAGCAGAAAGTAGTACGGGAAGATTAATGAAAAGTGCATTCACATAGATTTTACCTCTGAATTCAAGCCCTCTCAGTTGGAAGGTGACTAAGCCATTGCCAATCTCTATAAGGTGTACAAGTGCATTGAGGTAGTCGGAAGCAAGAATAAAGCAATCTCCAGTACTGTAATTTCCCCATCGCCCCAAGAGTAAGTCTCCACACAGGCTGTGCTGAAGGGAGCGAGTTAAATGTTCATAGAAGATTGAATTCAAGTTATTGTCATCAGAACCTACATGGAGGAGAAACATAATACAATATACTAAAAACATAAATTTATTTTTATAATTCTACTGAAAAATCATCTCAAGATATTACAACGGACTGGGATAGATGATCACTTTAAGAGCTTATAGCTGACTCAACTCCTGACTTTTAGTCATATTATTTTCACTGTAGAAACATTAATGTATGTAGTTCTCTTGGCATCTAGGTAAATTCTTAGCTGGGGCACCCCAAAAGTGAGAGAGATCAGGTGTTGAACCATCTCCAGGAACTCAAAATAGTATCCACAGTACTTTCTTCTCCATTTTTTCTACAATAGTACAATACAGAGATAGCCGAACTACAAATAAAAGATTTGCACTCTTTAGCGCCTAGCATACAGGATTAAACTTTGCCCCTGGTTAAGATTAATTAGTTATTGTTTTACAGATTGTTTTCTATCTTTGGATATACTTTTTTTTGAAAAGAGGAATCCAGATAAGAGGACAAGTTGCTAGAATATATCTGGTAGCTTAAATAGGGATTGTGAAAAGAGGAATATTCATAAGGACAGCAGCAGAAGTTTGGGTTTTTTTCCTGAAAAAACAGGAAAAAAAACATAAAAGAAGACTCTACATTTATTCAGATGATACAGAAATAGGAAATATTAGTTATAACTTTGAAGTTGCACTTTAGAAAAATATGGTTCTTTAACTGGAGAAAAAGATTTTCATCTATTAGTTGAATTCATCTATTAGATGAATACAGGTAGTCTTTGACTTACGACCACAATTGAGCCCTAAATTTCTGTTGTTAAATGAATCTGGCTTCCCCACTGATTTTGTTGTCAGAAGGTCGCAAAAGGAGATCACATGACCCTGGGACACTGCAACCATCATAAATATGAGTCAGTTGTCAAGTATCTGAATTTTGTTCAAATGACCATGGGGATCCTGCAACGATCGTAAGTGTGAAAAACGGTCATGTCATCTTTTTCAGTGTCGTAACTTTGTAGGTCACTAAATGAACTGTTGTAAGTCGAGGACTACCTGTAGTATGTATCACATCATCTAAGAAGACAACTGATAAAAGAATATAGATAAAATCAATAAAACAAGCAAGATATTTGAATGATTAAGGAACATGGTATCTAAGATTGAACTCTATTTGTTGCAAATCAATTTCAACTAAATTGCTAACAATTCAACAAAAAAATCCTATTAAGATTTATCCTCCATAATACACTTCTGAAAGACAGAATCCTAATGTATGTTATAAAAGCAGGTAAATACTGTTGCACATACACAATGTACTTATCTATTAGAAAGTGCTCTTCTACACCCCCTTAAAAGATGCAAAATATCGTCTTTCATTGGGTTAATTTTGGTTTCCATTCAAAAAAAGGTATGGACTGAATTGAGCCATTGCACAATCCACTCAACAGCTCACCTGCCTACTTTCATCAATATTACCTGGGTTTCTGTCAAGCTGAGAAGCCAGTCTTGTGTTTGAGTGATCCACTCGTTTTGTGCTGAAATGAAGACAAAAAAGTAGTGTTACTTGTACTCCTGAAATGCTTTGAAATGAAGCACCACAGGGTACTTACTCTATCTCTTTTCTTACCATTCTACCTTCCAGACAGAGACTCATTTTTACATGCCTTATCTTAAAATAAGTAAGAGAGAACCTTCTATAGAAGCTAATATACAAGCTAATCCCCAACTGGTGATTTTCCAAAATATTTGATTCCCTGCTACACCATTCCTCTTACAGAACTGAAAACAGGGCGGTGAGCAGTGCTAGTTCCAGTTATTTGTTTTCTGATAAGAGAAGCTGAGCCAGATATGTTTTCTGGATGTGAAAACAGATCCTGTCTGTTTTTCAAAGTTCAGAATGATACTTTCATGAATTTTGTGGCAACCAGAAAGCTAAAGTTTACAAAAAACCATTTTAGAAGGGCCTTACAATAAAGAAATCAAAACATTACTAAAATCAGGAGAAACATAGTGAATAATAGTTCGTTAAATTCTGGCAAGACGTGCTAGAAAAACATCAAAATGAGAATGTCTGGCCGGAAAAAAGCAGGTGCATTATTCTCCTGCACTGTTAAACTCAAATCTTTTTTACTCATTTAAAAAGGTATTTGTTAAATAGAAATATCTGAAGCTCTGTAGTTTCATTTTTTTCTTAAAAAGTTAATATATTCAGAATAGTCAGTATCAAGAAAAGAAACGTTATTTGTGCCTTTGAGATTAAGAAGTTTATTTTAAATTCTAGAGTCAACCAATCCAACAACTTCATGAAGAAATATCCTATTTTTCAACACATTACAAATATACAATACATGAAAGCCTTGTATGATTTCAGTAACACCTACTTGTAATCTCTCTCCCAGAACTTGACGGGTCTGACATAAGAAGTGATAAATATTGCACTTCCCAAAAAAGGGTTCAATGGGGTAGAGAAAAAGGCAGACACGATTGCCTGGACAAACAGCATTGCAGAATCTACCGGACAATAAAGTTAAGGATGTCATAATTGTTACCCGCTTATTAGCAGGATAGGATGAAGCAGTATATTTGTCCCCTATTATTTTTTCTTACAACACTGAGCATGTAAATTCACCTTTGCTTTTCGTAATCACTTACTGTATATTTTCTCTCCTAGATTTAAATTTCAGGAGATCAAATTAAAATAAGTTTGAATTTCAAAAGGATACGGGGCACAGCAAATGGTTGGGCAAAAGCATGGAAAGCAGATCCCCATGTGATTTGCCAAGGAGCAATATAAGTGTACACAAACCTCAGTTTATAAAAAAGTTCCCAGAGCTAAAAAAGAAATCAGAAGAAAATATTTAGAAACATAAGCACCAGCAGGAGTAGCAATACAGAAGCATAATCATGCATGGATTTAATCCTCTTAAAGCATGTGCAAAATAATGTCTCCATTAAGGCTTAAGGGAACTCGATTTCAGGGAGCCACAGAGACCTATCCACCACATCCCATGTTTGTATGTAAGCATGCCCTGTTGAACTGATTAAGGACCACTGTCAAGAACAAAAATGAAGTGGAATTTTTCTAGGTTCCCTTTTAAAATTGAGGGGAAAAATACCATGACATTGCAAGATTTATTTTACATTATAAGATTAGAAAAATTTAAAAAGTAGAGACAATCATCACTTCTGGAGTCTACTGTACATGGACGTTCCCATGTAGATTTCTTCGCAACAAACCATTTTCTCGGTAGTTTATGTTGGCTTCCTCTGGGATATTTTTTTCTCAAATTCTCAGTTTTTGACTACCACCCTAAGATATCCTGTTAAATCTCCAAATTTGTCCAATTATCCAAATTTACTTTACGTGTCTAATATGTACAATTTTACTTAGCTTTCTGAGATTAGTCAACATTGACCAAAACTCACACCTTTATACTTTGTACCATAACAATTCTTGTTTATCTGTTTATTATTAACAAATGTACAGAAACCTAAATGGTCTCTCAGCTAGTAACAAGGCATACATCATACTAAACCACCTACAGGAAACAATAAAAGAATACTTGAAGAAGATTACAGGTTGTGCTCACATGACTTGCTCACCTATAAACGCTGGTTTCAGCTTAGTAGTTTGTATGAACACAGCCATTATATTTTATAAATCATAATTTATGGCTTCATACATTGCTCAAAATCAGCCAGCTGTAGTTTATTCAGTGAACCATGGCTAAATAAATAAGAGTTTAATATATATGAACTAGATCTGTGTTAAAAAGGTCTGCTTGAGCTTTATAAAAGTTCATTGAGCAAGAAGACAGCTCTGCTACATAAAAAGCCCTTTCCCCCTTTGCTCTGGCAGATGTTGAGGTGTTCACACTAAGCCAGGTTCTGCCAGTTGCTTGTAACAATATGGACTAGAATGGTGATGCTGTATTTGACTTTACCTTGCTGAAGAGTATGGACATGAAGAACAAGTCTAGCAGCATGGTCTCAGAGAATCGATTGTAATCAAACGTAAAGAAAAGCACTGTAAAAATGATAGTGACATACTGGTAGGTTGGATTGCTAAAAGATGAGCGCAGCAACTTCATACCAGCTATAGTAATCATTAAAGCACCAAGTCTGCAATGAGAAAAATACAATATCAGATGAAACCTGAAGCCAAGGAATTCCCTTAGTTTTCCCTTTAGAAATTCCCATTAGTTTCTTCTTGCCTCACTCCCCTCTACCTGATCAGTTTGTTGATTATACTCAGTGAACTTATTTTCTAAAATTCCTTTTTATTAGATTTCCTAACTCACAGGATCTTGTCTGGGTTCTCAGCATATGTCTACATTCCAGTTTTGTAACTGATCATGATGACACTAAGATGGCAAAATGTGTATCTAACAGCAGAATGCCAGCTCCATCCTTTTCTATTTCCTTTGCAACAATATAGGCTAATCTGTTAACAGGCACAATTTGCACTGCAACTTCAATTTTGTCACTTGTCCCTCGGTGGATACCCATGTATCTATGGTTATGTAAAGTCTTAATCTTACCTAAAAAATACGTAAATTGCATGTTTTTTTTTAAAAGTAGAAAGAAAATAAATAAATAAATATAGACTAAATTAATAAATACAGATGAAAGATATTGCAGTGCAACAGATCACTTTGTGTCTTGGATAAGTGGAATGTTCATTCAGCTTATGCCTTCATACTAACTCATTTAATTGAAGTCATAAACTTTACTCCCACCTACATTGCATGCATTTTCTCCTTTCTTAAAATGATATATAGCAGTGTTGGTGAACCTTTTCGGCACTGAGTGCCGAAACGGGAGCGCATGAACATGTGTGTGTGCCAGAAACCGGAAGAGCAGCCACCCAGCACGCATGCACACACGGGCAGCTGCTCTTCCAGTTTCCGGCACAAGCATACACACCGGCCAGCTGGTCTTCGCACGTGCATGCGCGCCCAAAACCGGAAGACCAGGTGGAATCCGGAAGAGCAGCCACCCGGCACACGCATGGGCAGCTGCTCTTCTGGTTTCCGGCATTCCCATGCATGTGAAAACCAACTGGCCGGCGTGCCAGAACCCAGAAGAACAACAGGCAATGGCTCTGTGTGCCACTTCTGGCATGCATCGCCATCACGGATATATAGGAACCTCCTTTTCCCATTATATGCCAATATTCAGTTAATAAGGTAGATTAGGTAAAAAGATGGTAAAAGGCATCAAGATCCTGTCATCATATGAAAAGCTCTGCTAGATTAGACCAAAGGATTATCTATGGAGGTAGCTGCAGACTAGATCCAGCCCAAGTTCTCCTTTCACACCAGATTTGGCCCTATTCGCTTATGGATTTGGAGTCACCTTGATGATAGACAGACAATCAAATGGATAGGGTTCTGAGTCTTTTTATATGATTTTTATGACATTCCATTTATCTTGGACAAAATAAAAGGTAGTATTCGTTCATGCAAATATTAATCTGATATGTCCCAATAATATGGTAGTTTTCAGAAGGCAGAGAAAGTAAAGGTTTGGAATCTCAGGCACAGGGTGTTGGAAAGGAGAACTTCATGAATCAAGTAACTTAAACCTGAGAAAAGATAGGTGGAGAGTTTGTGTGGCAGTTTGTAGAGATTTAGGCAAGGAAAAATTAATGAGAGATTCAAACTTTCCTTCCTAACAGTAAAAGAACTTTTACCATGGAAAAATATTAGCAAGAGAAGTTGTAAGTGCCCTTTCTCTAGAACAGGGGTGTCAAACTCAAGTCCTGGGGACTGGATCCGGACCATTTATTTATTTATTATTCGTATTTCTATGCCGCCCACTCTCCGAGGACTCTGGGCGGCTTACAACAAAGACAATATACTAAATAGCATACTGCCCCCAACAATCTGGGTTCTCATTTTACCTACCTCGGAAGGATGGAAGGCTGAGTCAACCTTGAGCCGGTGAGATTTGATCCGCTGATCTGCTGAACTAGCAGTCAGCTGAAGTAGCTGCAGTACTGCACTCAGCACTGCGCCACCTCGGCTCATGTGGTGCTTAGATCTGTCCCGCAGAGCCATCCTGGAAGCAGCAAAGGACAGGCCCGTGGTGCCACAGCCAGTGAAAACGGAGCTCACGAGGGCTGCGGACAGCCTTCCTGAGCTCCAATTTTCCTGGTAGAGGGTCACAAGAAGCCGTCGCAGCCGAAAATGGAGCTCAGGAACCCATTTTCGCTGGCAGAGCGCTCGGGCCTCCACAGGCACCCCCGACACAAGTGACATCGAGCTGGCCACGCCCACACCAGCCACGCCCACACCAGCCCCCCAAGGTCAAACACAACTCTGATGCAGCCCTCAATCGAAATCGAGGTTGACACCCCTGCTCTAGAAGAACTAACTGTCTGCCATTAACTTTAACTTGAATTTCTGTACTGAGCAGGAGTTTGAACTCAATGGCTTGAATGAGACCTTCTTATTCTACAGTTGCATGAGAGAGACACTAAAGCATTCCTAGTGCTGAGGATGATGAAAGGTTATAAAATGGGGAAGTGAAAATAGCAACAGCTCCCAAACAGACACCTTTTTTCAAAATGCTAATCATAATTAAAACAAAAGTAAAATAACGATGCATGCCTTTTTCTACTTACTCTGTATCTAATCTCTTTGGACTAGCAATAGCCTTTGCACTGCTGCTGAGCTCATTGAGGACTACCAAGGGATAGATTATATTCTTCTCCACAAAAAGAAGCCATATATGAGCTTTCTCAAACCACATAACATGTGCGGCATCTAAGAAGTCAAAGAGTACATTCTGAAATCAAGTATTTCTGGCGTATGCATAGAATATCAAACTCAACTCTAATACCTCTAACGGAACATCCCTAAGATAGCTGCACTGTCTTTCTTTATAATAGAGGAATAAGGTTTCTATGGCAAAAAGAAAAAACTAGCACATAACAATAGCACTTACACTAATATACCGCTTTACAATGCTTTACAGCCCTCTCTAAGTGGCTTACAGAGTCAGCTTATTTCCCCCAATAATTTGGGTCCTCATTTTATCCACCTCAGAAGGATGGAAGGCTGAGTCAACCTTGAGCCTGGTAAGATTTGAACTGCCAAATTGCAGGCAACCTGCAGTCAGCAGAAGTAGCCTGCAGTACTGCACTCTAACCACTGTGCCACCACGGCTCATGTAATTTAACTATACATAGAATTTTTAATAAATGCATCTTAATTAGAAAAACTCAATATATTCAGTGATAATGCAACCAATACTGTATTTAGTTAATCTACTGCAAATTGTGCTACTTACTGCGGACTTCAAACTGATAGTATTCCTTGGTTTTCAGCAATGGATGAGAAAAACAGTGCCATGGGAGCTGTTTTCGGAGTTGAGGCAGCACATAATGGGTCATAAATCCTATTAATCCCACCAATGCATACAAAACGTAACTTAAAACAGGCTAAAAGAAAATTTTAAGAAAAAAAAATCTCAAAATCAGGTAAATATAATAACCATCCCTTTCAGAATTGTGTTACTTTATTTACTTTATTTCATTGTAAATAACAGCTCTGATTAAAAAGCTATCTTCTCCTCTGCTTAATCTTACCAACTAACATTGTATGTCAGAGCATATCAAAAACATCAGAAACACATGAAGCAGTCCAATGGTGGGTTTCAAAATTTTTTACTACGGTTCTGTGGGCGTGGCTTGGACATGGCATGGCTTGGTGGGCGTGGCAGGGGCAGGATATTATAAAATTTCCATTCCCACCCCACTCCAGGGGAAGGATACTGTAAAATCTCCATTCCCACCCCAATCCAGGGGAAGGTTACTGCAAAATCCCCATTTCCTCCCGATCAGCTGGGACTTGGAAGGCAGGGAATAGATGGGGGCGGGGCCAGTCAGAATTTTTACTACTGGTTCTCCGAACTACTCAAAATATCCGCTACCGGTTCTCCAGAACTGGTCAGAACCTGCTGAAACCCACTTCTGAAGTAGTCCCTTATTGGATCCTAGTTGCTTCCCTTGATTAAATGTATATCAGTTTATGGGAATATGATACCAACTGAAGAAAAATGGCAATAGAATTCTGTATTTTCCCTTTAAATGCTATACTTTAAATGCAGAATATTACACTGCATGTTATTATTAGAATTAAATTTTAGTTTTTGTCCAGGATTGGAGCACTCCTTCTATATTTTCTCACCTATCCTTTGAGAAAATATGGGTATCCTAAAATGAGCTTCTCTGGATGAATATGATTAAAATCTAGATTCTTCTCCAACTCCTTAACCACTGAATTTGCTGGAAGTTTATCATTTAGTCGCCACCCACTGATATGTTTATTAACTTTCTTGCTATAGTCCTTTTAGTATTTGCATTTTATGGCATGTGTATCAGACAAAACAAAAACAAACAAAAATGAGATTCTTGTCTGTTCAGACAACACAGCTTCAGTACATCATGGTTTCTAGCATCCCAAGCTTCCATATTTACTCATATACCAGACACATCAGTCTGCTCTTGAAAAAGTTGTACAAGCAGGAACATGGAGAAATGAGAGAATTTTCTAATTACAGGCTACCTCATATCCTTCCCATCTTACTTAAAATTCTTAAGATAGTAATGGGGACTAGCTGGAATAAACCCTCTAGCACTTAATGCAAGAAAAAAAAAGAGAGGCATACATAGAATCAATGTGATATGACTGAACATAGAAAGAAGTTTTCTATGTGGTTAAGCAATCCAAAAATATCCAAGAAAGATTTATAAAAGAAATGTGTATCATGATTTTTTAAGTGGGCAGCAGAAATAAATCTTACCTGCAATACTGTGAACCCTGTGCTGACATGGATTGCAAAATAAAGTACACCAATGACTACACAAACAACAAGATCAGACTGCAAACGTTCATTCTAGAAAAAAAGAAAAAGACAATGCATCTGCATATCAAGAAGGTTCTATAAAATGTCCACATTTTTATTACTCACATGGTTATTTTAAAGAGAGTTTCAGAATATAGTGTTGCAATTAATATTTATAGTCTCAAAACCTATTCCCCTCCCACAGTTTTTATTGACATATTTGTGGAATTTTAGTTCAGGTACCAGATGACTTGCCAAGCTGTACAAACAATTGTTAGAACAGAGTATCATAAATCTTAGCATAGTCTGAACAAATCATTTAAACACCTGAATTGTGTGTGTATATCTATCTGTCTGTCTGTCTGTCTGTCTGTCTGTCTGTCTATCTATCTTTGGCACAGAGTATTATCATAGCAATACTACTACTACTATTACTACTACTAATAATGATGATGATGATGATGTCCATGTGAAAAAGTAATTATTTTTAGATTCATTAATTGTTTTCATCATGTTTAGTTATAATCACTGCAACCAAATGTTCTCTGAAACTAGTGATTAGCTTCTCATATTAATACGCAGGTATTCTGACTCATTCCTCCATGGTGAATGGCTTCCACTAAATGGCATTTGTGGGTTTTCTTGCATTACTTGCTTACTTCAGGCCCCACGTAATACTTCAATGAGATTTAGGTCAGCACTTTGACACTGAGTTTGTTCTTCCTCCATTATTGTGTAGATTTCTTTGTATATTTGGAATCATTGGCTTTTTGTATGATCTACTTGTGCCTTACTTCAATTTTAGCTGGCAGATAGATAACATAATATTATAATTCACTAAGAGGGTCAAAATTCTTGCTTCCTTCAAAACTGGCAAGTCATTCAGGTCCTGAAGAAGCAAAGCATCCCCAATCCAGCTCCACATTTGACTAATGGTACAAAGTTCTTACAGCAGAATGTATTGTTTGATTTAATATAATAAATATAATGTAAATATAATAACACACATAAGCCTAAAAAGTTCCAATTCTGATTTAGTGGCAAAAATACCCTGTTTTCCCCAAAATAAGACATCCCATGATAATAAGCCCAATTGGGCTTTTCAGCACATGGCAATAAGGCCAAGCGCTTATTTCAGAGTTCAAAAAAAATATAAGACAGGGTCTTATTTTCAGGGAAACAGGGTATGCAAATATTTAGATATTCTGAAATAATCAAATACTCTTTTCATAGAATTGTAGACATGGAACCTGCACATTGGGATGTTCTCCAAATGTTATGGACTCCCGTCCCATTTGAGTCGGAAGCACTGTTTAAGGCACTCCCGGGTTGAAAGGAGTAGTCGGTGACATCACCACTGCCTGGGGGATGCCTGGGGTGGCTCCTTTCATGTTCCCATCAAGGAGTGGAGCAAATGACAGGAGCTCACCCCACTATGCAGCAGTACTTGGATCTTGAACGCAGATGTTGCTAGCCTCCAACCCTGCATGAGCCACTGCGTTCTAATGTTCTAGATTGTATCTCCCACAAATTCCAGATGAGCAATGATCAGTATTAATAGTTCTGGAAGTTTCCCCTGTTCATGAAATCTATTAATCTTTCTCTAGTCTTATACTACAAATTTGGCTTATTTATAGCAGACAGTAGCATTGTTCATATTACTGGAAATATAACTGTATACAACACTGAAACACCTATAATATTAGACTACGACTAAGATGGTGATTATTCCTAAATATTCCAGAAATATGTCAACTATTTAGCTCAATATTTAGTATTCATAATAGCAAACTTGTGAGAATCATTAGTAATTTGAACTATGTTACAACTTACCACTGAGTTTCTAAGCTTTTCAGGTAAGGGGTCTTTGACTTCAGATAATGGATCTTCTGGGTTTTTATCTTCTGAAGTAGGAAAAAGCTTTGATTGCACTAAAGAGCTAAAGTAAATACTTGTTTTAAACAAAGTCTTTACAGAAAAGAACTGCATTATTCATTACTGTATTGTAAGCAAATCTAAAACATCCCTTCCAGTTTAAAGGAAAATGAGCCTTTTTTTTTTTTTTGATAAAACAAATGGTATCTATCAAAAGAGCTCTATCACTCTTTGGTATCCCCACTGTCTGGATATTTTTACAGTGCTGTAGCTCACGTAATAAAATGTTATAAATTGCTTCTGTATATCCTCTACAGCAAGGTGCCAATCATTCGTGGTTTCATTGAAACAGCTGAAATTTGAAAATGTAAATGAATGTAACCATTTAACTACTACACATTTATCTTTTGGATATCATCAGAAATGTTTCAGTTCAATATTTGAAACAATCTGTAAGTAATTTAAAGTACTCTGTAATTTTTAGCTGACTGTTCTTATGCAAATAATCCCTACAAAGCTCTGAGTGTGACTTAAATTTATTTATTTAGAAGATTTATATCACTGCCCATCTTAAGTAACCCTAGGTGGCTCACAACAACAGTAAAACCAAGTTATGAAAGATTGTTTTATGACAGAAAATAATCATAAAAACTGTAAAGCAGTAAACAAAAAAATCTGTGCCTTAATCATCTCCTTAGGATACGCCATGATAGGCTCCAGTTGCCCATATTCCAAACTATCTCTCGATACAGTTTTAGGAGAGGGACGGGTCGAGCCAAGGAGAGACTTAGTCTACAATCTCTATGTGGGCACAAGAGGGCAAAGTCCAACCCCTTCTTGAATGCCATTGAACTTTATCTAGTCTCACCCAGGTGCAAACCGTTAGTCTGAGAAAATTCCTGTGTATAGGCATGAGCAATAACACAACTAATTGGACTCTTCAAAAGTGGGTTGGTTGGTTGTGCCTGATAACAGTAAAATCCTATCCCAGCACTTTGGTAAAATGCCTAATCTTAATGTCTTACATAAGGCTAAAAGAGCTATGAATCCTGGAAGACCTCCCAACTGCACACCAAGTCAATCTGGGGAGTGCAACCCCATCCAGGTCAAAGATGACGAATCACCAGATCATGGACGGCCAAAGTCTCAAAGCCACTCCATCTTGCTAGGGTCATGATTTAAAATTTAGATTCTGACTATGATAAAGTTACTCCAACTGAATTTGTGGAATGGTCGGCTCAGAAGCCACCAATTTAAGAATGACTTGAGGCTGATCAGGCACAACCTGGAGAGCTGGAGCAGTCAGATGATGAGGCACAACCCCGAAGCCATTGGGCTTTCTGCACAGAGCAAAACAACAATGCCCTGTGAGGCTTCTTGCCAAACAGAGGGAGAGGTCTTCATAATTGAAGGCCACTAGTTGAAGACTGATTTAAAAGGCAGCCTTAACTGATGTCCCTTCATTGGAAACAAGTATCTGATCTCTGGCTCTTATGTGATATTCATGTGGATTCTATTTGTAATTCTTGGACTGGCCTGACTTGGCTCCCTGAAATTTGGACTGGATTTTGACTACTCTTCTGCATGCTCCTTTTGAAAGCAAAACCACTCAGGCAGAGTTTCTTTTTCAGAGACTGTTTTGATTTACATTATTATCCTTGATTGCAGTTCAGCCTTGAATCAATTGCTAATCTCCAAGATCTGCCCAACTAGAATCCAGTTCTGAGTGAAGCTGAAAGACTTATCTGACAGATGCTGAAGACTCCTCACAGTGGCCCTGCAAGACCTCCCCTGGCTCTTCTTTAGAGGGACCTGGTGACCCCAAACAGGGCTGCTGGGCAGCGCTCTCGCTCTCTCTCTCTCTCTCTCTCTCTGTGTGTGTGTGTGTGTGTGTGTGTGTGTGTTATTTGGGTCCTCTAGTCTTCCTGAACAAGTGAATGAAACATTTTACTTCAGAATCTCTGAACAAGTGATGGAGAATCACCTCTTACCACAGAAAGAGGCAATGGACTAATGGACAGAAAAGATTATTGAATCCAGATATATACAAATGCTTCAGAATCATCACAGTCTATGGCAGTAATCAGAATAACCTGGCAGCAAAGAAATTTCAATGCAGCAAAGAGCTACAATTCCAATCCTATATCTATTTACTACTAATTCCAAGTGAGTTAAGGTGACTTACTCATAGAAGCAAAATTAGGATTTTAAAAAGATAATTTCTTCTAATATTTCTCAATTTGAGGAACAAAATTAATGTAATATTGGAACAGGAAGACATCACTTACAAAAGGACAGAAGGATCACTACTTTGTCGGCTGAGATGATAGGAAATTGCCACTAAAGTACCACAGAATACTGAAAAAAGCACTGGAATATGTTGACCATCCCAAGAATCCTGTAGACAAATATGTATTCCTTTATCAGAATAATTAAGTCAAGTTATAGTATAAAAGATCATTTTTATTTTAAATTTTTTAGAAAGTCTGCATTAAAAAATGAATAATATCAATTGCATATCCATAGTTGGTAAACCACAAGATTATTTGATTTGGGGATTTTTTTAAAACTGGACTTTCTCGGGTTTTTTTTTCCTTTGAAAATGTTTCGCTTCACGTCCTAGAAGCTTCTTCAGTTCTAACTGGTGGGGAACTAAAGTTTTAGGTTTCTTTAGTTTTAGTTTTTTTAGTTTACTTTATTGTCATTGCACCTCGTACAACGAAATTAAATGCCATCTTCAGTGTACATCATACATAAGAAAACTATAAAAATAAAACAAAAACACACATCCTTCACATTCTATACAATTGAATTGAAACTTGAAGCTTCTTGGATAAGAAGCAAAATGTTTTCAAAGCAAAAACCAAGAAGTCCAGTTGCCTTTTGGAAAAAGCATCTTTGGGTTAATGAAATGTAATAATAAAATAATCCAACTCCAGTTATTCAGAATAGAATACCAACTGAGAGCTCTGAAACAAGGCACTCACTATTCAATATAAAGATCAAAAAGCATTTGGAAGCTTTATAATTCCTTGGGAAAAATAATTGAGAACTTTGGAAATAGCAAATCTCAGTTTTTAAGTCACATGCAGATTATGCTTTTCCAAATTAAAGCAAAATCAGGACAAAGGCAAATGAACCTTTTCAAAAATCACATGTATGGTCAGTCACTAGGAGTCATATATACAGGGTGTAAGGATAGTAAATGACCACAACTTCTGCTTTTCAGCAATTTATATTCAGCAAGCATTTTCTCTAAATCTGGAGACCCATGTAGCCATGTGTATACATCTGCTGTATGAATCTCCTGTTAAAATTAGGATATGAATCTGCTATTTTTGAAATTTTTTTCATGTTATAAAAAAGGAGAATGAAGCAGTGTATTTCCATATGGTCCAGATTCTTAAGCTTAAGAATGTAAAATTTAGAATTTTAAATTAATTAAATTATTAATCAATTAAACACATTAAGAATTTAGCAGCTTAAAGGCTAAATTAATTCTCTATGTAGATTTTTTCCCTTTTTTTTGGCTAGGTTTAATTTATTGCAATAATCACAATATGCATTGAGAAAAAGAGAGAAAGATCTTTTTCTCACTATAAACCATTATTGTATTTTTTCTTTATAGTGTTTTAGTTCTTTGTATTACAGTATTATAAAATAATAATACTGTAATAATACTGTAATAACACTAATGACATTAGACCTAATATTAACAAATATTCAAAATATATTTTCTTATATAAAGATGTGAGATTTTTGTCTGCACCTTGAAGCTATTTCAAATTAGTTTTATTGGAAAACCCCTGGCTTTCTGTATTGTACAAAAAAAGGATGTTATAAAACCATGAAATCAAGTGATAACTGCATTTATGCATTTATCTGCATTTAAAAACAGAATGTAACAATTTTAAATCTAACTGTACTATATAAAAATATAGCACTGGTGGTACTACTCACCTTTAGGGCCCCATAACACAATCCATATAATAACGCTACAGCCACAATACTACAGATAAAACTGTAGAGTGCTGCAATGAGGCTTGTCGTGGCTAGATAATAATACAACAATAAAGAATTAAAAAATGATTAAAATGAATCTTGATGTAAAAATTAAGCATTTATTATTTTGAAGTTTATTTTAGGTGTACCTTTGTGTATAAATTTTTTTAATGAATTCAACTTTCAGGAAATATTTTTTCACACCTTCTTAGTTTATCAAATATAAATTATTATTACTTTTCAAATAATATAGAGGTAGTCCTCGACTTACAACAGTTCATTTAGTGACCATTCAAAGTTACAACAGCATTAAAACTATTTTTCGCACTTATAACCATTACAGCATCCCCATGGTCAAGTGATCAAAATTCAGATGCTTGATAACTGACTCATATTTATGACAGTTGCTGTGTTCCGGGATCACGGGATCATCTTTTGCAACCTTTCAACAAGCAAAGTCAATGGGGAAGCCAAATTCATTTAACATTAACAACTGCAAAGATTCACTGGGCATCAGGGGTCTCAGAATGCAGGATGGCAAGGGTGACTGTGGCTGGGCCTGGGATGGCTGTGGCTTCCAGGAGCATGGCAAGCAACCCGGGAACCACGCCTTGCAAGACATGGTGCAGAGCAGTCAAAAGGGCAGAGATCTTCTAGGGATACAGGCAGGTGGGAGTGGAGTTGCTTACCTTTCTAAGGTTTGCGAGTGGGAGGGACCAAGGCTAGAATGGCTCGGATGGGGTGGGTGCTCAGCTAACAACTGCTAAAATATACTTAACTGTGACAAGGGGAATTGCCAGGATTGCCGCACTAAGCATGTGACATCCCACATTATGAGCCTATTGGTTAGCGATGGAAATTCCATTTCCAATTGTGGTTGTAAGTCAAAGACAACCTATAATCTGAAAAGGCTAAATTATGGCACACTGAAAATTGACAGTTTGCCTAAACAGTCAAATTATTTTTTAGAAACCCACTGAAAAGTTTTTTACTGATTATATTTCATGAAATAAAGTGATTTTTACTCACCATTGCCTCCAAAGACATGAATATCTAATTGTTCACAGAGGTACATCACAAATGTGTTCACCTGAGGCAGAAGACCAATGAAGAATACTATAGGGAAGCATAATATAAACACTATAGGAGACAAAAATGATAAAAAGCAATAAGTACATGAAGAATTGCTGACTGATTTTCCACATTTGTACCACATTGTAAAGGTACTTTTCCAACACTGTCATAACTGTGAACAGTCGCTAAACAAGATGGTCACTTAACAAGGACTACCTGTTTTGTTATTTTCCCTATGTCTTGATTATATTTTCTAGAATCTAAATCCTGTATATTCACTTAAACTCTTTGTTCTGGGACCTTCTTGGAACTGGTATATCAAAACATTTCATCTTATTTAAGAGAAAAACAGAGAGGGAGAGACTAAAGTAGAATAATTAGGTTCAACAGAGCAAAGATGACACAGTAAGCAATCAGAACGTACATCAGGGATGGGAGAACCTAGAAACCTCTAGATGTTGCTACCTGGGATGGCTGCAATTTTGGTTCAATAGCATCTGTAAGGCTACAGGTTTTCCAGCCCTTACCTAAATGCACCAAATAGAAAAATCACTCACCCATTATCAAGTCCCTTGCTGAAAGCAGCAATATTGGATTAGTGAAAGCCATTCCATATAGTTGGAACCGTGCAGTAAAAGTGCTCTTGCTGCCATAGTCCAATAGCCAAATGAGACTGCAGCATATACAGAAGTAAACGGGCCTGCTGTAGGCTATGATTCGGTTATGACCCTGGAATACAAGTTTGAGTACTGCAATTTAAGTTGTAAATCATAACTACTCCTTTCTTTAAAAATCAGTTCTGAAACTTCATTTCGCATGCTAGTTCCATTGAAGACAGAGCTTATGCCTTTTTCTACACAAAGGAATAGGGTTCCCCCCCACATAAAACATTGCACAACATTATTATAATTATTTAGCAATTGCATCAGCTTCATATTCCAAGCAAGTAACAAAGATTCTAGTAATATTGATTTTCAGTTCTAAACAACAGTTTATTTTCTGCTATCATTAGATTATTTTTTTTGCAGCTTCTACTAAAATAATAGAAATTGCCTTTATTCTTTTGTGATTTTATTGAATTCCTATCAGGCATCGTTAAAATAAATATTGCTGCCTATGTGTATTGTTTTTCTAGTTTCTGTGGTTAACACTCCAAAAATTTTCTATTTAGAACAGGGGTGTCAAACTGGCAGCCCATGGGTCGGATGCATCACATGCAGGCCATGCCCACCCCAGCTCTGCAAAGGCAAAAAAGTTACAATAAGTCACCTAACATCACATCAAACTGAGAGCATATGCACCAAATTCCTTGTGTGTCCAATCACACTTGACCAATAAAAAATTCTATTCTATTCTATCATGTGACATGATCAAGTTTGACACCCGTGATTTAGAAAATTACCTTCATTTTTAGTGGATTTAATTAATACATTTAATTAATACATTTTGAACTGTATACTGGCCATTTGTAGGCATATCATATACTGTACAGATTTTTTTTAAAACCAACAATGGTTTTAAAGTACAATTTCTCCTTAATGGCAATATTTTTGTTGTTTTGTTGAAACAACAGCAATAGATGCAGCATTTTTTGATTTATTAGACCAGATGGGAAAACTTACATGTCGAGGTGATGAAGAATCTGGCTGAACGCTCTGAAAAAGTGCAAAGATAGCAGAAAAATGTTATTGTTGGTTTGGTACCTCATAAGATAATAATCTGAACAAATAGTATTTAAAATGACTTCCCTGGACACATTAAACTATCAGGACAGCATTTTTCACCTGTGAAAAAATATTTGTCAACTATTATCCAGAGCAAACAGGATCTAAAAAATCTATCAAAGTTTACATATGTCTAGTTGCAACAGAAAATAAACACAGTGTACATGTATATGAATAACACACAAAAAAGCCTAATCAACAATAGGAAGAACACACTGTTTTTCTTTGTGGGTTACCACAGAAAGAAAAACTGTGTTGCTCCTTGGAAAAAAAAATCCAAATTCACAATCATGCAATAGCCTCATTTGGGACAATCCAAGTATCTCAAATTGTGAGTGAGTTTTTGAATTATTCAGAAAACTTGTGGATATTTCTTTTTAAAAATATTACCCAATGTGGTTTTTAACAATTTGTAAGATTGAAACTTTTATGAATCTCACTTAAAAAAATAATAATTACAGAATGAATAATATTCCCAAGTGTTAATCATTGCCTGTCTCACAAGGTACTGCATCCACGTACATTAATATTTCCTGTGACATCTCAAAAAGAGTATTAGTGGCTTCTTAATCACGATTATAAGAACAAGCCAGAACTGAATCCAATTCAACTCAATCCAACCCAATCCAATAAAATATATTTTGAAATCCACACTTGTTCTACAAACCATAGTTTATGCAAACTCCTGAGCTATGGCTGGTTTACACTTAAAGGCAAAATTAATTTATTTCAATCTTCTTCACTGGTATATTTTAAAAAAAGGAACTGAGAGGAATATGAAGACTGAAAAGATTTGTTCGCATTTTGGGAATCATTATTCCGCTCTCCCCTTCAAGGTGTTCTTTTAATGTCTTTATTCAAAAATAAGCTATAAAACAGGGACATCTTTTGAAAATACAAAACTCACATGGTAGACAACTTTAATAATTTAAAACTACACAATAGTGAGGATAAAACATTACCTTCAGCAAAGAGTACTGGCAACTGGCAATCACCAAACAAAATTGGAAGACCCAGATGTCCTTGAAGAAGCCTTCTATAAGGAGTACAGAACCTAGGAAAGCCACTTGGATAGCTAGAATGACAGCTAATACATTTTCCAAGATTTCACGATTCCTATGGACAAAGAGATGTATATGTTAGTGAAATGCTACAACAGGAACAAAGAATGCAAGAAAGCAGAACAAATCAAATAACTATTGTTATCCATATTCAGAAGACATATTTGCTTGTTTTTGGTTTTGAAATACATTTTAGTTATAATCAACCACGTTTTCACTTGAATTCAAGTGAACAATCTATTTTATTAAATAGATCCAAAACAGGTCCTCATTCAATCCATCATTTAATCAAATCATCTGGCAGTCCAAATCTTAACAAGAAGAGATTACCACTTCCTCTTTGTTTTCTAGGGGTTTTTTTCTAATTAATAGTAAATATTTTGTTATTATAATCTTGCTTGGGTCTCAGTAAACTATTATTTGGCAATTTTACTCCTTAATGCTTTGATAGTTCTAGAATCTTTAGATTTCTTTCCAAACGGACTAATAACCTAAACACATTCTATGTAAGGACTTACCTGTCAAACAAAGCCAAAAGAGTCAATCTATCAAAATTGATACCAATCCAGACTTTGGGTAAGATCCAAAAGCGATAATAGTGTTTCACTTTTTGCGATGACTCCTCTTGTGGTTGTAGATGGTCCTGCAGATCAGGACTTAGGTCCATGTCTTGATGCTCCAGAAGATCAGTATCTATGGTCAACAGTCTGTTCAGTCTGATCTGAGGGAGGGAAAGCTACAATAACGTTAATAAGATTTGCTTTCATATTTAACTTCTTCAGTCCTAGTTTGAAAGAATATAAATATTATGAGAGAGATCCTGCTAAGTGATGACTACTTGATTACCCACCATCTTTATAAGCCTCTACAAGCACTGGGGAGAGAGCTATCTCTGGAAGAGTTATCTGAATGACTTTTGCTAATGAACATTTGCTCAAAAACACTATGGGTATGCCACAGGATAACTGGATTGGCTAATTGTCTCCAACAAGGAAATACAGATACCTGCACACCAAGCTATAGGGATATTTAATATTTAACATCAAAGGATGAGACTAGGACTGCTCAACAACGTATATGGATTGGATTGGATATCAATAAGGCATTGATACATATTAGCCCCAATACATTAATGCATTCTAATCATTCTAATTATCCGCAGCTGTATAGGTAGTCCTTGACTTGCAACAGTTCAGTTAGTGACTTTCAAAGATACAATGGCACTGAAAAAAGTGACATATGACTGCTTGTCATACTTACAGCCATTGTAGCATCCCCACGTCATGCAATCAAAATTCAGCTGCTTGGCAACTGACTCATATTTGTGGGTTGCAGTGTCCCATGGTCATGTGATCACTTTTTGCCACCTTCTGACAAGCAAAGTCAATGGGAAAGCCGGATTCATTTAACAACTATGTCTAACTTAACAACTGCAGTGATTCACTTAAGAAATGTGGTAAGAAAGATCATAAAATGGGACAAATATTTCACTTAGCAACAGAAATGTTGGGCTCAGTTGTGCTCATAAGTTTAGGACTACCTAATGTCCAGCTGCTGAACACCTGAACCATAAATTTCAGGTGGTTAGCCTGAATTTAATTGGATCAGCTAAGTGTAGAATATAAAATTAAATATAATTTGTGATAAATAGAAGCAAATGCAAAAAAACTTACTAAATCATGTGGATAAAAACGAACTGAGGTAGAACTTGATACATGAGAATCCGTATCACTGAAACAAGAAGACAAGTTTAGTTGGATACCTTAGTCTGATTTCCAATTCAATTCAGTTTTCTGTTTTAGAAAATAGAACATTACCCCAATATGCTCATACACACAAACATACACATAATATTGAAGCTAATGTTTGACTTTAGCAGAATGTCTATTTAAGCCACAGGCTAGGATTTTCTTTCTTTCTGATGCATGCACACATATAACAATAATATTGGTATGTTGTTCCCAATTATTATTCAATCATAAGTATCTGATTCAATACATAAACCCTGATATTATACAATATAAATCTAAAACATTTGCTTTTAGTATCAAAACGCAATCCTACAAATATTATCCATTTATAAATAAATTGGTATTACTGCATAAACTACAGCAACTACTTTCAAAAACACACCAGATGTTAGATGTTCTTCTTGCAGCTGGCTCAAAATTCACAAGCGACATATCACAGCCCCCTGTCTCATAGAGTGTGGAACTGAACTTACCTATTGAAGAGAAAGTCAATATAGATTAAATATTATGAAATCTTTGAACACTGTAGCAACAAACATCTAGTTATTTACAAACATACACACCAATTTAAAAATCATGAATAAGAAATGATTTTATAAGTAAGATCGCTCAAAAGATATTGTAATCAGTATTAGAGATTAAAACACATGGCCACTTATGAAGCTGGCTAATTTATATACCCATTTTTTATCATCCTTGTATGGTATAGTTTGTTACCACAAACCTTAAAAACACAACATCAAGACAATTAAAAAACTTACAATGAGATTTTTTGTTAAAAAATTTCACCTTATTTGGTTTACCAATTTCTACAGCAGTAAGACTACCTTTCCTGTAAGAGAAAGCTCATAAATTGAATTTATGTATTTGCAGAAAAATAATTAAATAATTAAACAAACAAGAAAGGGAAAAGAATTTCTCTTGTATAATATTTGAATGTGAGACCATTCAGTGAAATTAATTGGTAATATGCTTAAAACAGATATAAGGAAGTGATTCTTTGAAATTATGTCAATCTATGTAATTTGCTGTCATGATAACTCTACTACTTGATGAAAACATGGAAAACCTACTTCCATTAAAACTATATATTAGCAACCCATGATTATTAGCTACTGATAAAAACAATTACTAAATGGTTCCTAACTCAGATATTCCTAATAAAGGAATAAAGGAAAGATGTAAAGAAAAATGCTTGATTCTAAATTCCTACCTACTGTAAATAAAATGGACTAAATCTTTATATCTGCTAACTCTATGTGTTTCAGTAGTGAGTTGCTGCTGATTCGGTCCGGATCTTGCGAACCGGTAGTAACGGCGGTGGGAGGCTCCGCCCACCCACCCGGACATCATCACGGATGCTCTGCGCATGCGCAGAAGTTTCTGTCTATGTGCAGAAGTGATGTACGCGTGCATGCATTCTCCCATTGTGAACCGGTAGCAAAGGTAAGTGGAACCCACCCCTGGTGTGTGTGTGTATGCGTACGTGTGTGTGTGGTATAAAAATATCACACACTATAATTTTTTAATTATTATATGCCATAGAGAAAATGCAAAGTGTACACCTTTTTGATGCATGCAATTCTGAGAGTTGGAGTGTTCTCAAATGATCCCCAATGTTGATAAGGGTAATGTTTTTGAACTCTGTTCTTTTTTCTTTTTCTTTTTAAATATGAAGATTTTGAGGGATTTTAAAGGGTGAATTGTAAAGGCCCAAGATCACTGCATCACTCAAAAATCTGATTAAAGCTAGTGAAAATCACACATTTTTGTGATTGTTTTTTAAGGGACACAATACATTATATTTCTGCATTTTAGCTTTTAAGATCTAACCAACCCCTAAAAAGACCTTGTATCATATTCATTCTGGTGATTTCCTTGTTTCAGCTATTCTTCTATCTGCTGAACCAAATCAAATCCATTAAACCACAGATTTAAAGAATTAGCAGTGCTTGCTTTTTATCAGCAGAGGGAGATAAAACTCTGCAGCTCAATAGAGTTGAATTCTACGATTACTAAATTGTTACTAAACAATGACACAATGAAATTAAAAAAATAATAAAATAGAAAAATGTAGAAGAACAAAAATCCTCCACTCTTTATATTTCTTTGCTTGAAATAGGGAATTGAAGGAGTCATAGTCTCCATTAAACCTCTTTTCAGAAGAAATCCATTGGTCACCATAGTTTGATTTCAATACAGAACAATTATATACAAACATGCATGGCTATCAGGTTCTTCCTGTTCAAGAAATGCAAACTCCACAAAAAGTGTAATAAATTGTAAGCCAAAAAATTAAAGATATAAGACTAAAAAAAAGAAAAGAAAAATAAAGTAGAATAAAATTACTCCACAAATGTAACATTGGCTATATTTCTCCAATTCTTTCTAGCCTTGGAAAACACATTCATCTTCTACTGCATCCTTACATAGATTCATATATTGCTTTCAATTCTTTAAACTTATCACTTTCTTTCTCAGAATCTCACGAATTCTATCCAACGATGCTTATTTTGGAGTTCCCTTCCTCTCAACCAATCCATTCTTCCTTCACATATTTACTTTGAATTCATTTAGCCTATATAAGCAAATTAATTCAACTTATTTCTTTAATGCTGATCATGGCATGTTATAATTTATAATCCATTGTAGGCCTTCATTTCATTGCATATATTCCTAAACTCCAAATCCATAATATCAAGCCATCTTTATTTATTACACTCTTAATCCTTTTTCTCATTTTTCATGGACACACAATGTATGTGTGTGTGTGTGTGTGTGTATGTATGTGTGTGTATATATATATATGTGTGTGTGTGTATATATATATATATATTTATTTATTTTTCTGAGGTTTTCACAGGTGTTTGTATGTAGGTCTTTGGTTATTCGGGTTTTCTCCCGCGTAAAATTGGAAGTATCTTGGCAACGTTTCAACGAAGTCTCATTTGTCATCTTCAGGCTGGTGTTTTCGGCTTCGTGCTTCTAGGAGCAATGTGTGATCGCAGCTGTTTCTTCCTTTTAACTGCCCGTGGGAGTGTGAACTGATTGGGTGGGAGCTTGGCTGTGTTCTGAGCACAACCAAGCCCCCACCTAAACAGAACACACCCCCATCCAATCAGAGCACAGCCAAACCCCCAACCATTCAGAACACACCTCCACCCAATCAGAACACAGCCAAGCTATTTAAAAGGAAGAAACAGCTGCGATCACATATTGCTCCTAGAAGCACGAAGCCGAAAACCCCAGCCTGAAGATGACAAATGAGACTTCGTCGAAACGTCGCCAAGACACTTCCAATTTTACGTGGGAGAAAACCCGAATAACCAAAGACCTACACACACACACACACACACACACACTTCTTTTATTTGTTGATTCACACTTTTTAATAAAGTGCATATGGCCTGCTGAAATCTTAAATCTATCATAAACTTGTTTAGTAAAAAAAAGTGTAGAAGTGGTTACCAGCTTCAATTGCAAACATACCATGAGCAGCAGCATCATGTAAAGACAATCCAGTAAGGGCAGGATTTTTTTAGTTCATTTTTGTCAATCTGCCATAAGTGCTCCTGAACTTCAATTTTACCCTAAGAAAGTTGACGCTATTACAATATATGCAAGATAGAGTTTCTAAATTAGAAATTTCAAGCTAATATGCTATTGCAATCATTCCACCAGCTAGAAAGGACATGCAGTCTATCAACATAATTCAGAATGTTATAACAACTGTATTAAGTGAATAAAGAAATATAAAAACAATAATTTATATAACTGACTTTACATCAGCTTTCCAGCTAGTTCCTAGTTTAGCCCACAACAATTACACATAATTACCATTTGTAGATACAAATCCTTTTTGCCTCGTTGCTTATATTGACAAAAAATCGAATTTAGATTACCAGATAGAAAAGCTGCAAAATTCTGTGAAAGATTTTTAAAAATAAAATCAAACTCAGGCTCTCAATGTTTTATTGTCTGTCTGTCTATCTATCCTATCTGTCTTCCATATTTCTAAGTATCCCATCTCCCTCAAAGAGGGGCTCTGATTTTTTGGTCTAGCAAGCCAGTAATTCATTCATATTGATAAGGATGGCAAATATATTGGCTTTGTTTTGAGAAGAGTACCAGCTGAGCAATTACAATACAATACTTACTCAAAACTTCCCCATTTAAGGGCAATTTATACAACACAATTTCACAGTATTAATTCACTTATCCCTCTCTAGATTCCAAACACGGCAATACTATGCATTTAAGTTATGGCAAAGCTATATTAAATTTCAAAACTTGTAGCAATAGAACATCATCCAATTTGGAAATGTAACACAGAAAATCCTAAACTTAGAATCCCTCCCACTCCAAAGCTCCATATGATCTCCCACTAATGGTTTTATTTAGATATAAGTAGCACAGATGAAGAAATGGTATTCTGCGGAACACCATGAGTGAATGACTTACCTACTGAATATTGTTATCTAGCACCATTAAAAAAAAATAATCTAAATTTAATTTTACTCCCCAAAGCAGAGAGAGAAAATAGAAATATGTGTTGCTGCTACATTTTGGATATCTAAACACTTGAAAACTTCTGGTACCTGGCTGACAGTCCACTTGATGACTTCTTATCACTTCCATAAATATAGTGAGATAAGTCACGCCTATAGTCACAATAAATATATAAATATATATAATATAAATATATATGAATGAATTTAACAGTGGAAACCAGATTTCCCTCAATAGTGTGTAGATTTATTTCATTGTTATTTGATTTCTTTAAAGTATGTATATAATCATATGACAAATTAAACATATCCCATGTAAAAAAACTTTTTTTAATATATGTGGACAAAACAATTGTTTGTATTCATCCAAACAATATATAAAGACAAGGATGGTATTACTTAAAACTGACTTTGCAATCATTTATTCAACAAAAAAGAAATAACAGATATATCATTTCCTTCTGTGGAAAAGATAAATACACCCTTTGCTTTAATGCAGGTAGTTCTTGCTTAACAACCAGAACTAAGTTATGATGGACCCCCAAATTGTTACTGTTGACCCATCCTTTCAGTTATGATTGCTGCACACAAAAATGATTTTTGGTAAAAAAACAACACCCATTTGGGAGAATGGGTTCACTTAACAGCCACGTAATTCACTTAACCACCATATGATTTGCTTAACAATTGCAGTCAATTGGAGTAGAAATGGTTGTAAAATCAGGTCACATGGTGATCTGCTTAACAACTGCAAAGTCTTTCGATAAAAATTCCAAGATAATGTGACGTATCTGTAGTTGATATTGCCTCCTTTGGCAGAAACAACCTCAAATTGGTATTTCTTATATCTGCCTCATAGTGTCTGACATCCACTGCAATTTATTTTCACTCTTCCATGAAGATTTTTTTTTCACCTGTGTGATTGAAGGGTTTCAGCCCATTTCAAATTATCCCACAATGTCTTGATGGGATTTGCAGTAGATACAGACTTTGACTGGGTTATTCCAGGTTCCTCCATTTCTTTCTTTTTCCTCCAAGCCATTCCTTGACAGATTTATTGCAATGTTTAGGATCATTAGTCACTGGGTCACTGTTTCAGATATATTTCTTTACCTAAACAGAGAAACAGAATGACCAGGGACTGGTATAAAAGCAGTGGGATTGGGAACAACTTTTGATTTCCTGCCAGCTTCCCCATTGATTTTCCTTGTAGAAAGTTGGTAGAGAACATTGGAAATGACTAACATGCGACTATGACTGACTGCTGTAGTACAGCAGTGGGGCAGAACTGAAGCAGCCATAACTTGGCTAAATATTAATCGCACCGGAGTAATGGATCATAGATTTTGATGCATTCTTTAAGTTACTCCATTTGAAGTATGTTGATTCAAAAATAGTTGCCCAATAATGCACTGTTTCTCCCAAATGAAGGTCACAAGCAATCAGACACAAAGATTTTAGAGGTATATAAACTTATCTACAGAAAAATGTTTATCAAGTCTGCTGAACATAGTGAAGCTTCAATTCTAGGATTAAAGTTGAGCTAACAAATGATGACAAAATAATCTCATACATAATGTGACTATGATTCAAAGAGAAATATATTAGCATCTTTTTTAAAAAAAGCAACCACTTGTATTATCCAAAGCCAACATTTAATCACTGCTAAGTTAACCATTTTTCACCAGGCTATATGCTTTCCTGTAGTGCCAGTGTCAAATATGGTAGCAGTGAGGCTAATTGTGCACTCTGGTGCCACGGATGTCTATCTTCTCACTTGATTTGATTTACATGCTTCCAGCATGTAAACAATAACACTCCAAGGACATTAATGGGCCACAATTACAACTCTGAAATAGAGGAACAATCTCTGAGGGAAAAAAATTCTAATCAAAGGTAGGAAGCCTGTATAACTCTTGAAACAGAACTAGATGACAAGAAAATAGGAACTCCCTTCATCTGAATTATAGCAGTCATCTGCCCATTCATTCCAAAACATAAATATAAAAGTAATACATTCAGAGATTATTGAAACTCCAAACTTCTTTCATTCTGTAGTTGCCACTAAATGCTGCAGGTACCAGTAGAGCAGCCACATTCGAATAGACAGAGCCATAGCATTAGAATAAGAGCTCCATCAAAACAGACATGTTCCTAAAGTTATTCCAGTAAAAAATGGCACTTCAAATCTTTGTAATAGCTTTCCTAATCTTTTCTTCCTTATACAAATTATTTTTAAAAACAGCACATACGTGATATTAAAAATGCATCAAGTTCTCCAATTTATCAGCATCCCTGTTTTCTAAGTTAAATCTGGACTACAGAAAAATAAGGACACGAAAATTCATATTTTGGGGGGAAAGACGATGCTAATAGAGGACATTCCCCATGTTGTCCTTTGGAGAAGATAAATTCAGCACAACTCCTGTTTGCTTATTGTTGAATAAACTATTTATATGGAAGTTCCAGCTATTCATACAACACAGGGGTGAAATGCTCCTGGTTCGGATCGCCCAATCCGGTAGCGATGGAGGTGGGTGGTTCGGAGAACCGGTAGCAAAAATCCCTGCCCCCCCCCATGCCCAGCTGAACCGCGCAATCATCAGAGGCTTTTTTTTTAAATTTTTAAAAGCATTTTTTCTACAACCTCTTCGGCCGAAAAAATGCTTTTAAAAGTAAAAAAAAAGCCTCTGATGATCCCGCGGCTCAGCTGGGATCGTCGGAGGCTTTTAAAAGCAATTTTTCTACAACCTCTTCGGCTGAAGAGGTTGTAGAAAAAATGGTTTTAAAAGTGTAAAAAAAAAAAGTTGGCCACGCCCACCCAGTCACATTACCCCCCCCCCCCAAACCATGCCCACAGAACCAGTAGTAACAAATTTTACATTTCACCTTGATGCAACATAAGAATTTTCAAATATTTTGTAGTTCTTTAGTAATGACATCTGTTCTGGAAACCTAAAGAATTAAAACTAAAATGAACAATAATAAAATGGTGGTGCAAAGGTCAGACCAACTGAAAAAAAAAGTATTAAAAAAGTAATTATTGTTCTAAAAGCTTCTAACTGGTTTCATCCACTAGATATGCCAATACACTGGGAAAGGTTCTGATTATACAGAATTATGGTACTATGAAACAAATGTGAATTTATTTAAATCCTTGTCAATGATTTGGAAATTCAAAGGACGTGCAGCACATATTCAAAATTAGTATTTTTCCACAAGCTATGTAATAGAAACAGCAAAAGGAGGAGAGGGAGGAGCATAGTTTCCTAATTTAAAGATCTAATTTTCAACTAGGGAGTAATTTCACAGCAGCATCCTTTTGTTTATTTCCCAGGATTGTATTTTTAGGAAGAATATAAAAATATTCCTTTCATTTTATGACTGCTTTTTGTAGCAAAAAGAGTTTTGCATGATCAGTGAGAGACTACTATTATTACCAATTTCTAAAAAAACCCTTCCACATTCCCAATTTTTTGATTCCCAGCAAAAGTATCATCAGTTAACATAAAATTAATTACATTTCTTAAGACTTAATTTTGGGAAATTACAAATAGAATTGCAGCTTTAGCAAAATAGCATTTACTGTATAATTTACTTAATACTTTGTAAACATTTTTTTTTGCAATCTGCAAGTTGTCATTTTCAAAGTCGTCAAAAAGAAATTTTTATCAAGTTACATTATTCCAGTTAATCATGAGACAGCAATATTGAATTCTAGTACTTTGCAACACGATAGAATAGAAAAGGATTGCAAAATGAGACATCAGCAATACCTAAATAAATTGTGATCAATCTGGTCATACATAAAAACCTCTTTTCAAAAATCAAACTTGGGATATTGTAGCAAGGGGAGTCCAGCTATCATATGTATCACATATCCCAACCCAGAACAGAACATTCCTATCTGAGATGGGTATTTTCTTCTATTAAGGAGGCAATGGATTGGAAGGAATGCACCTAGAGCAGTGAGGGAAGGACAGCCATCTGGCCAGTTAGATCAGACAAATCAATCTTGGTGACTGAAGGCAAAACAGACGTTTCAGCCAGATTGCCTTTACATCCACTCCTGAAAGTATCAGTGCTTAAATTTAGCACTGCTTTCATATATATGTGCACAGAGAAGCCACAATTATTTCTCACCTGATTAAAATATTAATAGGATTTTACATTGTGGATGATAATTCAGTAATCATCAGAGGTCACATGACAGATGTTACGCTCTGGTACAAATTTAAATCGTCCAACATGAAACAGATTGTGGAAGTCATTTCTATGATAAATTATAATTATGATTTAATTAAAAATAGGCTTGCTGAATTATTAAAGTACAAGTAGTATCATGCCTTCTCTAGGTTTATAGTTTCCATATCCAAACATAAGTTCCAGTACAGAATTCAGAAATGTTGATCAATAAAAAAAAAAAAAAATCACAAGTGTCAGTATTGTAAAGAGGGCCATAAACAATTTAAAATGGCAACATTTAACACAAAAGTGTATTATAACAACAAAGTTTGAAATACTATTACTTGCATTCTGCACAGTAATGCTAAAAAGCGATTTATTAGAGTTCCATGCATGATTAAAATCTTTAAAATAAATGCAAAAAGTTGAGACATGGTATTTTGATGGATTTTAATATAACTTAATTCAGTATCTTCAGTCAGTGATTTAAAAAAAACCTAGATAATTTAACATAGGAAGTCTTGCAAAAGGGAGATCAGAAGCAATTTGCTATAAGAAACACACCTCAACAGTCTGAAATAAAGCCAAGACTAAGCAAGTTTAGGTAGAATGCATTATAAGCCACAAATCTATGGAATAAACACTTTGATTGCACTAAGTTATGTAATGCCTGCATACCAAGTTCATTGTGCAAACTGCTGCTGCCGACAGCAGATGCATTGTCATGTGTTGCTTCTAACTGGACACTCCCATTTCTCACCAGCAAGGAGGTGCTAGCGCTGAGTACTGCTGCCTGGGAATGGGGGCGTGACTGGACTTTGACTTTGGCTGTGGACTGCTGCCCTTGCTGAACATCTTGAAGGCTACGAAAGAACATGGATGGTGGAAACATTACAGGGAAGAACACAGAAACAGCAGCTAGAAACCAAGTTAACACTGTATTTTGTATTAAGGTTAAAAGAGAACTGCAATACATTGAACTAGCCAATCTTTGCTGAACAACACTATTACAACATATCCAGGAAGTCAAACAAACAAAAGTTAAAATTAGCTGGATATCCATTCCAAGCAGTTTCTACACTAACTTGGAATTAATACTTCAAAATATTTTCTGTTTCACATAGTTCTCTTCTAAGCAGTATTGGAAAGTGCAATTATATCATGATGTCAATGTCTAATGTAATATCATGGTAATTTTTTAAAATGTAAGCTTTGCTTTTTTTTTTTTTTGCTAACAAACAGCAAATGTTACTCTTTCATGCAAGTTTAAAGTAAACTTTGAAAAGACTATAAGGAGTAAACGCAGTTGCTTTGCTCAACTCAATTTAAAAATAACATACATATGTTGTATTAAAAATCACTTTGTTTTATTTATTTCATTTTATTATCTATTTATATAGAAGAAAACAAATTATTAGTACATATCTAATTTCCCTTTTTTTTTCTACATTCCCGTCAAATGTATTTTGTTTAAAGGTCTGTCCAGGATAAATTCAGAGGTGTACCCTCTGAAGATAGGGTGAAGATTAAAAACAAGAAAAATTCTTGATGTACAAATGAATAAATATGTACTACATAAAACCCAGAATTTTTCCAAATGCTGAAAAACTGTGATATAGAAAAATTAAATGGACTGTGAAATAAACCATTCTGGATGCAGATACTTGATACCCTATGCTACCTATGGTTTTAGTCTAATTTCAATTGTGACTTACAATCATAGTTATGTAGCCTTGTTTTATTGCATAATAGCAATCTACCTTACAGGTAACTAAATAGGCATCACACTGAATAAGATTATGTACAGTCTTTCAAGTCACGATTATGACTGCAATATTAGCACATTTAGCATATTATGACTGCAAGAAGGCCCCAGTATAAGGAAAGCCCATAGTTAAGAACAGAGCCTGTCAAGTCATAATCATGACTTGAAATTTGAACCATTGTATATTTAACTTGAATCACTATGTATTTAACTTCAAATTTGCTACAAAAGAGCCTATTGTAGCAAATTTGAAGTTAAATGCATAGTGATTCAAGTTAAATATACAATGGTTCAAATTCATTATACAATATTACTTATTACATAAGAATATTGTGCCAACTTACATATACATTCGACTTGAGAATAGAACTCTTATACTGGGTCCTATATGTATAATACATTTTAAGAAGGCGGCAGAAATTATATATGTTACAGATGAATTGAATTCTACTGAATTAAATGACTCTTTACTTCTTGGTAAATTAATAATAGATATAGTATATGTACTTATATATCCCTGAAAGAAGCAATGTGATATGAACCTTTCATAAAATTTACAATGCAATAATCACACTGTGGTAGAATTTATAAATGTGCACAGGTATTCATTTTGAAGATAAAATAAAATTTAAGGTATTTCTAAAATGAACATGCACAATCTCTAAATGTGTAACTGTTTAGTTATTTATTTATTCAATTTGTATTGTTTTTCTACATAACTTTATAAGGCTGGCCCAGTCTTGCAGTCTGCATTTGTGCCTTGAAGTATTATTTTTGTAGAAAGTATTATTTTATAATTCTACAATACATAGTATGTAAAAGAAATATTGAATTTTAAAACAATCAGATTAAAAATATTAATGCTAACAGAAAAAAATATATAAAATATGACTAACAGTAATCTATTGATGAGTAATATAAGCATAAATTAATGCTTAGTTATTAATATTGTTTGTATTATATGTTTTTTATCTGGCTGTACACCGCCCTGAGTCCCTCGGGAGACTGGTGCGGTATATAAATTCGAAATAAAATAAAATAAATAAAAAATATTAGTTTCTTAAAGTCCTTGTGTAACTCCACTCTTTATCCAAATAACATTTCAGATGAAAAGAATTATTCCAACAAAAAGGATTAAGTTTGATAAATTCACATTGCTCATAAAATTGAAGCAATATTTAATTGAGTGTAAGAGATCCATAAAAAGTTTTTTATATATATTTGTTTCATAGGTTTAATTACCCAATTAGTTACATCATTAGTGTTAGCAGTCTTGATATTGCCTAGCTGGGTAGTAAAAAGTCTGCAAGAAAAAATCTAAGATCAGAGATCACCAAGGACTCCATAATTCAATCCTGAGCTGCATATAACGCATTCTATTGATTTATTTCATAGTTTATATTCTTCTTCATATACCTAATTATCTGACCAGTCTTTCTGAATTTTAGACTTATAAACAATTATAAACAATAAACAATTAATTTTTTCTCTGATTCTTGTGAAGAACTTTTACATTTTTTTCTCTTTATTTGGGAAATAGATTCAAATGATCTTTTCCATGAAAATATTACAGGAGATTTTACATTAAGAATAATTATGAAACAAATAGTTTTAATTTCAACACTGTTGACCAATAATACTATAGAACACATGCAATACATACTGTTAAATTTCATATGTTCAATATGTATAATACCTAAAATTGTAGTAATTTTACTATTAACTTAATCATTAGAAGAATCTTACTATCATATTTCAGTAAAAAAAATTAATAACTGAACATCAAAAATATATTTTAAAGAACCATCTACAACTGAGTAACACATTGCATTCCAATCCATTAGAACGGATAGTCATATTTTTAGAACTATAATTTAATTTTTTAAAGGCCTTGACTCTACTTATTGCAGCATTGCCCCATATTCATAAAACTTGGGTCAAAATCAGAAAAAAGTTTTTAAACATCCTAACCAAGAAATAAGAGTATATACTTTGTTTACTCTAAACAGCTTGTGTCAGAAACAGATGTTAGAGCATATGATGCATATAGAATTGAATTATTAGGGCCTTTGTTTAAAATAGTTTACATTTAAAAAAATTATACGATATAATATTAATATCTACACATACAAATACAAGAATTAAGAAGTTATTTAATGTGATAATATTCTATCATTATCATTTTCCAAACTTTAGAAAAAATGTATATGTGCATTTATTTATATCAGGGGAATTAAATACAAATTTTATACCAAAATAGTCTATTGTAACATTAAGCTTAAAAAAATACATTTCACATAAAAGTAAAATTTATCAAAATGAAATAACTCTTACAGAAATGAAGATGGGTAATCTTTGGGAAATTTTCCTGCTACTTAGTCATGGCCTTTAGTCTGTTTTTTTGTGACATTACTCAGCAGAAGCCTTCAGGAATTACTGTACAGTTTTAATAAATATCATTTACTCTCAAGCCTTTGATACTCCATTTTGTTGCACAAAAATTACAAATTAATAAATCACCTATTCTACAAATTTCAGTCATGAACATTATTAAAAGAGCCCTAAGAATATATTCAACAAAATATGAGAAATTATAATGGATAGGAAATCCTGTTGAAAAATATTTCCAAACAAAGTCTCATGTAGCTGTGCATTTTCAATGGACATGACAAGAAGTATCACCATGCAACATGCAAGCCAGCAAGAACAGTGTTAGTTTCCATGGTCCATAAAAACATTGTTATTTGATGGTTTATCAGTAGCCACAATTCTTTTTTTCCTATCTATATAGGATAAATAAGCTGGGCTTTGGATGCCACACAAAAACTAATGCTGAACTCTAGACATTTTAAATTTCACCAAGTTAGAGCTGGAAACTTTTACTTAAAGCAGTTACTGCCAGTTAATGCACAGTATTTGGCTTGATAGATAAATGCTATGCTTTAGATAAATTCAGCTCCCCGCGTGTCTGGTTCTTTATTTCTGGGTTGTCTGTAATTATTTTTATTCTGTTTCACAGGTTAAGAGAAAAAACAACAAAGCCTAGTTACTTCAAATAAAGATACAACAAAGTTCATAAATAGCTTTAATTTTTAACAAAAATTTAAAGAATGTTATAATTGTATGGAAAACAATCTAGAATGAGCTCAGACGATTTTTTCCCAAGTTGATAAAATATTAGGAGCCCACCTAAATTTAGGTTGTAGTATCTATATTATCCATTAAGCTAAGAATCCAAATTTGCCTCAAGAACTGTGCAGGAGATTACATGATACCCCTTCCCAAATCCCATTTCCTGAGCCAAGTCCTTCTCACTCAGCAGTCTTTTTCTGTTTCTGTGCAAGGAAAAAAATAATAATCCTTCTCTATTCTTAGAAATGATTAACTTTTGAGGGCTGAACTTCCATTGGCTAGATAATACCTGTAGCATGGTACCATGGAGTTATTTTATATTATAGACAATATTGTGACTGAAATTGACTCCTAAATTTACAGCTGAATTTAAAATGTTGATAAGATAAAAAGGAAAAATAGATATACATTCAAGTGAAAGACCAACTACATAGTTGAATTTGGAAGTTCATTAGTTTATTACTGAGGAACACTCTAAGTTTGGAATGTTTAAAAAAATGAGGGGTCAAATGCTTCAATAAATAGTTGCAGTGAGAAGAAAATGTTAGAAAGGTTGCTTTATTTTTTATTCCAGTTGCTTACTTAACACATGTAATCCACTGACTTTTCCCTTCTTTAAAGGAATGAAAAAACCCATTACTACTACTGAATACTTAAATATGACCTAATTCTTAGGTTCCTAAAAAGTCTTCTTTTGGAGAAATAAGTCTTGTCATGACAACAAGAAATAGGCAAGAAATAGATAAGAATTATCAGCAAATGAGATTTTTTTTTTTTGTTAAAAGAACAGCATAACTTTACATGAGTTCTAAATTAAAATTAGCAATAGCAGAGAGTGAAAAATGGAACATTGATCCCATTATTTAATTATCCAACTGTGATCTAAAAGATACAGAAGCTGTATCAAATACGTGCCTTTATCATATTAACAAAGGCTCAGTAGACTGTTTTTGCAATGGAATAGCC